GGCTGTGAGGATGTGAGTGAGTTCAGAGAAAATGCTCAGAACCTTGCTTGGCACGTAGTAGGTGCTTTATGTGCTGGCTGTTATTATTGTGACTATTATTATTGTTATTACTGCTGTTCTCATTATTTTGTCTTATCTCTTTTCCCAGTCTCATGGCCCCCTCTTTCTCTTCAAGTGTCTCTTGACACATTTTTGTTTCTGAACGAATGTCTAACTGATCTCTAAGTCTCACGGGTCTCTAAAGCTCTGTCTCTCTCTTCCTCTTCCCACCTGTGGCAGTGTGGTGAAATGAGTTCCTTTATGTGGCCTTTTGCCTTAGTTCTTTGGAAAAACAGCTTGAGAGATTTTTCCCCTAAACTCTGAGGAGTTACCTTTACCCAAGTTTTCTACCCCGGAGGGTCTATTACTTTTGCCAGATTGATTGACATTTCCTGGGTAAGCTGTAAGCAACTTGGCTTTGATACTTTTTGTCTGGTCCTGGGCTGCTGCCTGCGCTGTGATTGGTATGCACCTTGCAGGGATTGGTCAATAGACTATGCAAATGAGGCGAGTTGTAGCCCAGTCCCACCTATTAAGCAAAGGAAGCGTCTGTGGCCTACGAGAGGGGATTGGTGGGAGGGCCTTGGAGGGAGGGCCATGCCTTGAAATTGACAAGGAGCTGTATATGTATGCAGCCAGCCCCATAGAAGTTGGTCAGACAGTAAGAAGCAGAAGAGAAGCAGCAAGAAAAAGCAGAAGGAAGAGAGAAGAAAGAAGATGCTGAGAGGAGGCAAGGAACCTCCTAAAACACTTGTAACACAGGTGAAGGACGGTAACACTGAAAATGGTGACAGATCTGGAAGGGGCCCCGTGGCAGAGCTGGCAGTGACAGATGACAGGAGCAACAGGAGCCTGTCCTGAGGGGGCTGAGGAGAGGCCTGCACGGCTGAGACGAGCTAAGAGAGCTGTTCTTCACTGAAGGAGACTTTTGCCTTCATGCTTCCTGAGCCTGATCCTGAGTTGTAGCCTGTTGATTCTGATTGCAAATTGTGCCCTGTTCCTTAATAAACCACTGAACTGTAAGTATGATCTGTGGGTTGTGTGTGGCCATTGCAATGGATTATGAACCCAGCAGAGAAGTAGAGAGTGGCATGGGAGGGATGGCTGTCAGAATTGGTAAATAGGTTGGAGAGTGGAGGTATGTCTGACCTCTGCCTCACAGGGATCAGCCTTGGGCTGATCTTGATTCAAATTATCCCTCCTGAACTTAGACAGGTACTGACAACACTATTACTACTACTAGTTCCGTTTTACATGCAGTTTTAAAATCGGTTTACAAATTCTTTACTGCTCCTCCCTTCAAGAGGTGGAGACTAATTTCTTCCCCTTTGAGTGTGGGCTGGACTTAGTGATTCGCTTCTAATGAATACAATGTGACAGAAGTGATGGTATGTGGCTTCCAAGACTAGGTCATAAAAGGCATTGGGCTTCCTTCTTGCTCTCTGTCTCAGATCACTGGCTCTAGGGGAAGCCGTTAGCCATGTTGTGAGGACACTTGTCTTAGTTGGTGCTATCTAGTGCTGCTATAACAGAAATACCACAAGCTGATGGCTTTAAAAAAGAGAAATATTCTTTCACAGTCTAGGAGGCTAAAAGTCTGAATTCAGGGTGCCAGCTCCAGGAGAAGGCCTTCTGTCTGTCTTCCTCTGGAGGAAGGTCCTTGTTATCAATCTTCCCTGGTCAAGGAGCTTCTCAGCACAGGGACCCCAGGTCCAAAGGACACGCTATTCTCCTGGTTCTTGTTTCTTGGTGGTATGAGGTTCCCCCTCCCCTCTGCTTGCTTCTCTCTTTTACATCTCAAAAGAGATTGACTTAAGACACAACCTAATCTTGTAGATTGAGTCTTGCCTCTTTAACATAACTACCTCTAATCCTGTCTCATTCACATCATAGAAGTAGGATTTACAACACATAGGAAAATCCTATCAGATGGCAAAATGGTGGACAATCACACAATACTGGGAATCATGGCATAGCCAAGCTGACACATATTTTGGGGGGACACAATTCAATCCATAACAACACTCAAGCAGCAATATGGAGGGGCCCACGTGGCGAGGAAATGAGGCCTCCAGCCAACGGTCACATGAGTGAGCCATCTAGAAAAGAGATTCTCCAGCCTCAGTCAAGCCTTCAGATGACTGCAGCCCTGACCAATAGCTTAACTGTACCCTCATGACAGATCCCAAGTCAGAATCACCCAACTCAGTTGCTCCCAAATTCTGACCCTCGGAAACTGTGAGATGAATGTTTGTTGTTTTAAGCCACTAAGTTTTGGGGGTAATTTGTATGCGGCTATGAATAATTAATACCTATCTTTGTTCAGTGCTTTTTCTGTCTCTCTCTCCATCTCTGACTCTCTGGGCATCTCAGCCCATGGATGTCCGTTTCCTATTCTCCATCTCTGAATGCCCGTCTCTTTGATTCCTCTTTAGTCTCTCCCTTTATATCAGCTGGTCCCATTTCTGGATCTGTCTCCTTCCACGTGTCTGTGCCTTTCTGTTGATATCTCTTTGCAGTGCAGTGAATTACTTAATATGGCCCTTCAAGCCATAGTCTTGGTGACTCCCACACAATGATTGGGTGGGACTATGCAAATAACATGCTTGTTGCCCACCAAGGGAACTGGACAGCTTGCTAATAATGCAAGTAAGGTGTATGGAACCCTAATGAGGGGATTGGTTATTTTTGCCATCCCACTAGGCTTAAAATGAGCCATCCCAGAGGCAGAAAAAGGGTACCTCACCATCACCAAGAAAGAAGAGCTATGAGTGGAGCATGTCCTTTGGACCCAGGATCCCTGTACTGAGAACCTCCTAGACCCAGAAAAGAGAGAGCTATAATACCAGAGACTGCAAGACAGGGAGAAGCAGCAGCAGAGAAACAGCAGAACCAGGAGACTGGAAGGACACAGTGCAGCGGGCTTCCCAGCCCTTGATGCGAGAAAGCTGACTGCCTTCAAGCAGGAGGCTTGCTGGCGGGGTGGGGTGCCTCCAGGCACATGGCAGAGCTAGGCTTGCTGACCCATGGAGCTACAGAGCTGAGCGCCTTCGGGCCAAGGCTTACTGGCGGAGTAGGATGCCTCTGGGCTCTTATTGGTGGAGCTAAAGAGTTTTGTAACACTTGCCCAAGCAGGGCAGAGGCTGGGCCGGCCCAAGGGACCAAGAGGCCAAGGGCCAGGGAGAGGCCTGCCTGTGGGCATGGCTGAGAAGAGGCTGTTCTGACCGAAGAACTGTATCCTAAGTCGTCCCTAATCCTGAATTGTAATCTGTTACTTCCCTAATAAATCCCATAACTGTGAGTATGGTCTCTGAGTTCTGTGTGGCCGTTGTAATGAATCATCGAACCCAGTAGGGGAGTAGAGAGTGCCATGGGAGGGACAGCTGGTGTCAGAACTCGTAAAAAGGTTGAAGAGAGGAGGTATGTCTAACCTCTGCTTCACAGGAAATCAGCCTTGGGTTGATGCTGATTCTCTCTCTCCCTCATGAAGTTAGAGGAGCTCAGATGCCCCTGCCACGCCACCATTTTTACACTCCTTCTTGGCACGAGTTTCTGTATTTGTAGATGTGTATGTGTGCATCAAGGAGCTCTGGTGGTGCAAACAGTTAAGCAGTCCCTTGCTAACTGAAAAGTTGATGGTTTGAATCCACCAGCCTCTTCAAAGGAGAGAGATGTGGCAGTCTGTTTCCGTAAAGATTACGGCCTTGGAAACCCTATGGGGAGTTCTACTCTGTCCTATAGGGTCGCTATGAGTTGGAATCGACTCGAAGGCAATGGGTTTATGTGTCTATCAAGGAGCTCTGGTGGTGCAAACGGTTAAGCACTCGGTTGCTAAGTAAATGTTGGTGGTTTGAACCCACCCAATGGTTCTTTGGGAGAAAGGCTTGGCAATCTGCTTCTGTAAAGATTACAGCCTAGGAAACCTTATGGAGCAGTTCTCCTCTGTCACATGGGGTCACTATGAGTCAAAAATCGACTCGAAAGCACCTAACAACGACAAGATGTCTGTATCTATCTCTGTCTGTCTCTGAGGCTGTCTGTCTCTGTTATTTCTCCTTTGCCTTTACTGCTAAATGTGTGTCTCTGTGTCTGTTTCTTTAATATTTGGTGTCTCTGTCTTTGGATCTTTCTCTCCCTCCCCTTCTCATGCCTGGCTTCTTGTTCTTCCATCTCTAACCTGCTGGATGGGTCTCTTTCTGTCTCGGGGTCTCTCTGCCTCTATCTCTGTGTGTCTCTATGTCTGTTTCTCTGTACGTGTCCGCATTTTTTTCTCTGCTCTGTCTGTATCTTTCATTCTTTGTGTTCTCTCTGCATATTTCTCTGTCTCCAACTCTGTTTGTATCTCTTTCTGTGGCTATCTGTATCTCTCTCAATCACTGGCTCTCCTTCTGGGTCTCTCCCTGTCTCTGTCCTTCTCTCCCATCTCCAACCTGCTGCCTCCATCCGCCATGTCTCCCTGTATCTCTGGCCCCCTTCCTTCCCCAGCCGCCACAGTTCCGACCTCACCTCTAGCTCTTTCTCGCCTCGGCTTTCTTGGCTCCTCCTCCTCCCCGCCCTTCTTTCTCCCTCTCCGGGTCTCTGCCTCCCCCTCCTGGTCAGGAGCCCTCACCGCACTCCAGGTTCCCAGGGGATCCCCTAGCCCGGTTAAGGCAGCCCCCGGCGGAGGACCGAGTGGAGCACGGGTGCGGGCTGTAAGCGCTAGGACAGGCCCCAACCTGGGTCCCCGCGAGCCTGGGGACCTCGGATCCGAGCCCAGCCCTGCCCGCGGGGACTTCGGAGAACTATCCCATATCCACCTTAAGCACCCTCCCCTTCCCCCTTCTGCGGAGGACGGGAACTGCCAGCTCCCGGCCCCAGGTGTCCGGGCCACCCCCGCCCCCATCGCCCCAGCAAGGCTGGGAGCTGGGGGCCAGCCCCCACCACTCCTCATCCTGCTCCTTGTGCAGCCCCCTTCCTCCAGCCCCAAGGAGTGTTCGCTGCTGCGAGAAGAGCCCCCCCCAAAAAAAAAATAACACCCAGAGAGAGAAGAGAGGGAGGGGGAGGAGGGAGGAAAGGCTGAGAGAGAAGAGAGACAGAAACAGAGAAGAGGCAGGAGAGGAGGAGGGGAGAGAGAGAGGGAAGCTGGAGACAGGGAGAGGGAGAAAGGGAGGAGGTGAAGGAGGGAAGAGAGAGAGGGCAGGCAGGAGCAGAGAAGGAAGAGGAAGAGGTGATGGGGAGCAGGATGAAGACATGGAGTTAGGTGGCTTGGGAGAGCTTAATGACAAGAGAAGCAGGAGGGGGGTGTGGATTTGAAATCTAGAGGTAACCTGGGGGAGAGGCAGAAGGCAGAGACGAGTAGGTAGGCAGATCCGGAGGTGGAGGGAGGCGGGAGGGTCTGGAGGAAAAAGGAAAGGAAGGAGGAGGGGCATAGAGAGAGAGGAGAGGAGTGGGTTTGGGTGGTCTCCATCCCTGGCTGCTTTGGGATTTGGGGAACTGGGGCTCCCTGTAGGGAGGAGAGGAAGCTTGGGAGTCCTGAAGTGAGAGGGTCCCAGAAAGAGGGGACAGAGGAGCTGAGATAAGGGGAGCCAGGGGATTGAGAAGGGGACCCTGGAAGGCCTCCCGGGGATGGGGGGTGCCCTTCGCCTGAGCGCCCCTCGCGCGCTGGTACTCTGGGCCGCACTGGGGGTGGCAGGTAAGACCTGGGGGTCGGGGCAGGAGCCCCTAAAGGCGGGCTGGAGGTGGGGGTGTCAAGGAGACGGTTCAGGCTGCTCTCTTCCCAGCTCACATCGGACCAGCACCTGACCCCGAGGACTGGTGGAGCTACAAGGATAATCTCCAGGGAAACTTCGTGCCAGGTGCAACCAGGGCGGGGACCCAGGAGTCCGACCCCCCAGGCGCCTCCTTCTTCAAACATAGGAGTCTCAGTCCCCAGCACCCACGCTTCCCCCAGTACCTTGAGTCCCAGCCCCCTCCACCCTCCCCACCGCTGAACCCCGGGAACCCACTGTGGGACGTTATACATGCGCATTTCAAGTATCGAGTGGGAGGGAGTTAAAGGAAAGTGTGGGGGTGGAAGAGAGTGTGTTTGCAGGGAAAGAGGCAGATCCAGGCTTCTGCTGGGAACCAGCGGTTCAGTGGCCCCCGTCTCCCACCTTGTCCAGTCCTGGCTTGCAACTCCTGTCCCCAGTACGTCATTATCCAGCTGTGGGACAAGGGAGATTGGAAAGAACTACAACTCCCATAGGGCACTGGGGCAGGCAGGCAGTGGATGGGTAAGCTGGCTGCCCTGGGGACTTCTGGTAGTTGTAGTTCCTTCCTCCCAATGACATAATTTAAGATGAGATGGATCAACGAGAGGCTGGAGGCATTAGGGGGTCTTAGGAAACTAAGATTCTTCCAGGACCCAAGATTCTGGACCCCAGCCTCTTCTTTCTTACCTCAGACCTAGAGTCCAGACCCCCAGCCTCTCCTCCCCTCTGGGATCCAGGAGTCCAGACCACAGTCCTCTCTCACTAGACCCCAGCATTGTGACCCCGCCCCTATTTCTGACTCCTCTTCCTCCCTGAACCCCCTGCCCCCAGGGCCTCCCTTCTGGGGCCTGGTGAATGCAGCCTGGAGTTTGTGTGCCGTGGGGAAGCGGCAGAGCCCCGTGGATGTGGAGCTGAAGAGGGTCCTTTATGACCCCTTTCTGCCCCCCCTGAGGCTCAGCACTGGGGGAGAGAAGGTAAGGGGGGTCTAGAAGGAGGGATTACTGAACGAATCTTGTAGGGGTGGGTATGAGTGGGGTCTGAGGGGGGATGGCTGAGATGGGAGGCCAGCACTGGGGAGGGGTATACAGCACTGGGGAGGAGAGAAGGCTCCCTACACTCTAAAATGAATCTCCCCTCCCCAAACATGGCTCCTCCAATCTTCCGTCTCCGCAGAAGCAATAGTAAACCACAACTGTTTCCCTTGCCAGGCACTGTTTTAAAAGCTTGACAAACCCCTCTAATGTGCATAATAACCCTATGAAAGACCTGCTATTATTATTCCTCTTTTATGGATGCAGATATTGAAGCACAGAGAGGTTGTGTTACTTGCCTGGGGTTACACAGCTAGAGAATGCCAGCTCAGGAATTCAAAACCAGGCAGTATGTTCCTAGTGGGCCACACCCTTATCCACTTTGCAATACCATTTCTAATGAGAGCCCACACTACCCTTCACTCAGCTGCCCAAGCCAAAAACCTCAGACTCATTCCTGATCCCAATGTTTCCCTCCCTCCCCATTCCCAGTCCATGTCCTTTCTAGTTTCCCTGCTAAATATCATTCAATTCCTTCCGCTTCACGTATCTGGTAGCTTCCTTGCTGGCCTGCCTCTTTGCCTCCTATGCAGTCCATTCTCCACACCACAGCCAGAGAGATGCTTAAAAATGCAAATTGTATCATTCCACTCTCCTGCTCAAAATCCTTCTATTAGAATAAGTCATAATAGCAAACACATAGCACCTATGAAGTGCCTGAGCGGCACTGTGCCAAGTGTGTTATATATATTCAGTTATTTAAATAAAAATATGAAACTCCCATCATTGTCCACAAGGCCCTTCATTATCTGGCCCCCATTATCATTCTCTCCTTTGCTCATTGGGCTTCTCTCCCACTGGCCTCTTGGCTGTCACTAAAACAGGCCACCTCAGGACCTTTGCACTTGCTCTTTTCTCTTCCTGGAACGCCCTTTCTCCCTGCTCTTTGCAACTAACCCCTGCTTATCCTTCAGGTCTCTGTACAAATGTTACCCTCCCCCATCTAGACTGGGTCCCCCATTGCATTTTCTCAGAGCTTGTGGACACAAGGTGTAATTAATTAAGCTGCTACTTAATGTGATTGAATGTTTATTGTCCATCTCTTCTCCATTAAAACATAAGCTCCATGAGGCTCAGGAGTTTTGTCTACTGATTCGCTGCTCTATTCCTGGCATCCATGGCACATAGTAGCAGCTCAGTAAATTTGTTACTTAAATGAATCCAACCAATATTGAGCACCTATCATGGGCCAAAAGGAGCCCTAGTGGTGAAGTGGTTAAGCACTGAGCTGCTAACCAAAAGGTTGGCAGTTCAAACTCACCAGGGCTCCTTCCGAGAAAGATGGTGGCAGTCTGCTTCCCTAAAGATTACAGCCTTGGTTGGAAACCCTATGAGGCAGTTCTACGCTGTCCTATAGGGTCACCAAGAGTTGGAATCAACTTGACGGCAATGGGTTTTTTTGGTTACCACAGGCCAGCACAGAACTTGGCAAGCAGTTGATGCTCAGATTATGCTGGATGACTAAATGATTGTAGGAAGTGGGAAATGTTGGAGTGGAAAACAGGAAGGAAAAGATCTGTGTCCCCATGACAGCTTCTGCCTCTCCCACAGCTCCGGGGAACTCTGTACAACACGGGCCGCCATGTCTCCTTCCTTCCTGCGCCCCGGCCTGTGGTCAATGTGTCTGGGGGCCCCCTCCTTTATAGCCACCGACTCAGTGAACTGAGGCTGCTCTTTGGAGCGCGGGACGGAGCTGGCTCTGAACACCAGATCAACCACCAGGGCTTCTCTGCTGAGGTGACAGCCACTGACCTCTGACCCTTGACCCCGGTTCTGATCTCACCCCAATTCCTCCCACTTCACCCTCTTCCTGTGCTTCACCCCACTCTCCTGCACAGAACTGGTCCTCCACCCTGAGCACTGACCCTCACCCTGACCTGGAAACCCAAAGTTCCCAGAGGTGGAGCCATTCTCTCCTCCCCTTCTGCTGGGGGACCCCCCCATCTGTGTCCTCTCCCCTCAGGTGCAGCTCATCCACTTCAATCAGGAACTCTATGGGAACCTCAGTGCGGCCACCCGAGGCCCTAATGGCCTGGCCATTCTCAGCCTCTTTGTCAATGTGAGTTAGACAAGATTCTGAGGGAGGAAGGGGTTGGTCGCCTGGATTCCAGAGTCTGACGGAGGAGGGCGTCTGGTAGTCTAGACTCCTGGGTCCTTAAGGAGGAGGGGACTAGGGGGTTGGACTCTTGGACTCCTGCTCCTCCCCTTGTACCCCGTCACAGGTGGCCGGCAGCTCAAACCCATTCCTCAGCCGCATTCTCAACCGTGACACCATCACTCGCATTTCCTACAAGAGTGAGTCCCTGGTGTGGTGGGAAGGTGGATCAGAGGAGGGGGGTCCAAGGAGGCCCCCTCTTTACTCTGGCTGATGTTCTTGCAGATGATGCCTACTTTCTTCAGGACCTGAGCCTGGAACTCCTATTCCCCGAATCCTTCGGCTTCATCACCTATCAGGGCTCTCTCAGCACCCCGCCCTGCTCGGAGACTGTCACCTGGATTCTGATTGACCGGGCCCTCAATATCACCTCCCTCCAGGTGACCATCTGCCCCTGACCTGGGGATCCCCCAGCCTTCCTCTAGACCTCTTCCGCTGACTCTCGGAACCAGAGAGGGCAAGAGGGATGGTCCGCACAATCAGGGTGCGTGGGGCTGAGCACTGCCTCGCTGCCCAGCTCCCAGGGGCGGGGCTTCCTCGTGACGTCACCAGGACCATTCCCTAGTCACTCTCAGTTTCCCCCCTTCCACGGCAGATGCATTCCCTGAGACTCCTGAGCCAGAATCCTCCATCCCAGATCTTCCAGAGCCTCAGCGGTAACGGCCGGCCCCTGCAGCCCTTGGCCCACAGGGCCTTGAGGGGCAACAGGGACCCCCGGCACCCCGAAAGTCGCTGCCGAGGCCCCAACTACCGCCTGCATGGTATGGTCCAGTCTGCATCCCCTCCAGGTCTTGGTCTAACCCGTCTGTGTGTCTCCCCTTGATGTCTCAATATGGCAAAGCCCTACCCCCTTTTGCTGTGCGAGCTCTCATTCTCCTCCCTCTGTGTCAACTTGGTACAGTCCACCTCCCCGCCTTAGACCATTGGTGGTCCATGATTTGTCTTTCCTCTTCACTGCTTTGCAACTCGGTATATAACCTGAGCTCCCTGGCTTCCTTGTAGAACAATTAACGACTGGTCCATGGTACAGTACTTCCTATCACTATGGCTTAACAACATGGTACAGACCTCCTTATTTCCAGGTGGTATAACCCGAGTTTCACCACCCCCACATCGAGAGTCAACTTGGTACAATCCCTTTCCCTTCCTACTGCTTCCCTGTGGTTTAGCCCGGTGATCTAATGGCCACCTCTGGTTTATCAACATGGTACAGTCCTCCCCCCGCCCCGTACCTTCACGTAGTTCAGCCTAGCGCTGGACGTCCCTATTCCACCCTCTTGCTGCCTCCTTATGGTTCAGCCCAGTGGTGGTCCAACCCCTAGAGCGTCTCAGCCTGGTACGTTCCATCTACCCCTTCGCAGCCTCCATTATAGTAGAGCCCTGAGCAGCCTTGCTTTCGGCACTTGCACACCCCTAACAACAACAAAACCCCAAAACCACTGCTATCAGTCAATTCCCATTCATAGGGACCCTATAGGACATGGTACAACTACCCCATAGGGTTTCCTAGGCTGTAATCTTTATGGAAGCAGGCTGCCACATCTTTCTCCTGCAAAACTCGTGGGTTCCAACCACCGACATTTCGGTTAGCAGCTGAGTGCTTAACCACGGTACCACCACGGCTCTTTTGCACACCCCTATTGTTCCCTAAACTAACATCTTCACCGGTGCCCTCTGTCTTTCAGTGGATGGTGGCCCCCATGGTCGTTGAGACTCCCCATCGAGGATTGTGCCTGCCTGTCCCAAGTCTCCCCGCTAGGGGAGGGGAGTCACCCCCAAAACAAAGCTATTAAAGGGACAGAGACTTCCTGTTTCTCAATGGTCTGATTCTAGGCGCGGTGGGGAAACATTTGGGTACTAAACAACAGCAGCCTTCTAGAAACCAATCTTCCTTCTCCTATACTCCCACTACTCGGGTTTTTGGCTGTTTCCCAGAACAATCATTTGAACATGCATCTTTTTTAAGCCACGACCCCCCCCCCAGTCCCCACCCCCAGGCAGCACGTGCGGAGCCATGTGCTTCCCCCACCCGCCTGCCTCATTGGCCCGAAGTGGGTCACGGTCCCGCCCCCAGCACCGCCTCCTATTGGGCAAATGTAGGTCAGGGTCCCGCCTCTTTCCAAAAGGCAAGGCAACTTCACGCGCGGAGCCCCTCACGCGTCTTCCTGGACCTTGGCGGATCTAGGGCCGTCCCATTGGCTGTGCGTCTCGAGAGAGCGAGATGCGATTGGCCCGCTCTTGCATAGGGAGGGAGGCACGCGGCTGGGGTGCATGGCCAAAGAGGCGGGCGGGGCTAGGCAGGCGCGTGCGGGGGCTGGGAGGAGGGGCCCGCGCTGTGGCGTCGGGTGTTTTGGTTTGGCTTTTTTTTTTTTTTTTTTTTCCGCAAAAGAAGTTTGCTTTGGCCCCGCCTCAAGGCGGCTGCCTCCTCCTGCCCCTCCGCGCACACCTCTTGGTGCAGATTGCAAAGCGCCTTCCGGCAAGAACTGCAGATTTTGCAAGAGCCAGGCTCGCCCACCTTGTAGGAGTGCCTGTGTCCCCTCGCTCCCTCGGTTGCAAAGAGCCAGCTGCCTGATTTGGTCACCCCCTCGCTCATACTGCAGGGTCTCCGGGGACCCTCTTGAGTTGCACATTTCTATACAGACGACCGCGAATCCCCGTTGCTCCTAGGATTTGCAGTGTTCTGGACACTGGAGGCTTGCAAGCTACACTCGCCTGCCCCTGGGCAGACACTCGCCCGAACGACGGGAGTGTGCCGCTGACTGGCAGGCCAGCTCTTCGCCTCTCCATGAGCCCGTGAGCCTGGGGGCAGGTGCCCAGTGATGGCGCGGCCCTCGAGCGACAGGACACCGGCCCCCCTGCTGCTGGGCGGCCCGGCCGGGGCCCCTCCTGGAGGGGGAGCGCTGCTTGGGCTGCGGAGCCTTCTGCAGGGGACCAACAAGCCCAAAGAGCCGGCCAGCTGTGAGTTCCAGCCCCCACTTCACCCAACTCAGAGCCCCGTTAGGGACTCAAGAGCTATTCTTCCAGCCTTTATCCACTTAATTACTCAGGTGTTCAAGCCCCTAGATCCTTTAGCACTCTGGAGCCAAAAGTACCAGCTCTCAACCTGGTCCACCCCGAGGACCCAGGATTGCAGGCCCCTATCCCCTTTTCTTTTTGCTTCCGGGAGTCTGGACCCCCGTTGTCTGGGGCAGAGGGAGGGGGTGTGTCGGGTGCTCACACGGTGGTGACACGGGCTTGGGCGGGGCCTCCAGGGGTCACATGGGGCCTTGGATGAGGAATGTGCCGGAGGACTAGAGACCCTTCCTGCCCCTTAAAGAATGTGGGGGAGGGGGATGGAGAACAGCACGCACGGGGAGTGGGGGTATTTCGGAGGAATTACAGAGCTGTCATTTTTTTCCCTCTCACCTGTCTAACCCTCTCTCCGCCTACCCTTCTGTGACACCCTCCTCCTGGGCTTCCATCCCCCTTTCTCTGGGTTTTTCTGTGTCTCCTCTCCACTCTGGGTCTCTGTCCCTATCTCTCATCTCTGCCTCGCTCCCCGTCTCTGCCCTTCTTTCTCTGTGGGTGTCTGCCTTCCTCTCTGAATCTCTGTCCCCTCCTCTCTCTGGGTGTTTGTCTTTCCCCCATTCCCCCCCCCCCGTTTGTCCACTCTTTTTGGATCCCTGTATGTCCGCGGTGTGGGTCTCTATGCCCCCTTCTCTCCGATCTCTTTGACTCGGGGTCCTCTCTATCCTTTCCCTCTTCCACCTCGTCCCGTCTTTCCCTGGCCCGCAGGTATCTTGAAGGAAAAGGAGCGCAAGGCGGCTCCGGCGGCAACCACTGTCCCTGGGCCGGGCCTGGAGTCAGCGGGCCCAGCGGAGGCCCCAGCTGGGGCGGTAGTGGGCGGCGGGTCCCCGCGGGGGCGCCCAGGGGCCGTGCCCGGTCCGGGTCTGTTGGCGCCGCTGCTGTGGGAGCGGACGCTGCCGTTTGGCGACCTGGAGTACGTGGACCTGGACGCCTTCCTGCTGGAGCACGGGCTCCCGCCTAGTCCACCGCCTCCCGGGGGCCCGTCTCCGGCGCCCTCGCCCGCGCGCACACCGGTGCCCTCGCCGGGACCCGGCTCATGCGGCTCGGCCTCCCCCCGCTCCTCGCCTGGGCACGCCCCCGCCCGGGTTGCTCTCGGGGCCGCGGGCGGTCACCGCGCAGGTGCGGCGGAGGGGGCGGGACTAGTTTCTGGATGGGCGGGGCTTCGACTGCAGGGGGTGGGGCTGCACATGACCTCGGGCCAGGATGGTGGGGCTTCGCTTTGGGCCGAATTCTGGGCCCTCTGGTTCAAAGATGCCCTTGTGGCACACTGGTTAAGTGCTGGACTGCTTACCCAAAGGTCAGGGGTTCGAAGTCAGCAGATGCTCTCAGAGAAAGTTGTGGCAGTAGTCTGCTTCTCTAAAGATTTACAGCCTTGGAACGCCTATAGAGCAGTTCTATTCTCTCCTACTGGGCGCTATGAGTCTCAACAGAATGGAAGGCAGTGAGAATTTTTTTGGTTAGTTGAAAGATGTTGCCTGAGGAGCCATATTCTGTATCCCCTAGTAGACCAGGGACTGGGTCTCCAGGATCCCTAGGGGAGGAGGAACTTGGGATCCCAAATCCCAAGAAGCCTGTCCAGTGGGGAGACATTGTGGACATTTCTATGCGACGTGGGGACCAAGGGTCCGTATAGTCGGAGGCGGGGCTGGGAGCCCGGAACTCCGTTGTTATTCACTGTGGAGTGGGTGGGCCCTGAAATGACTGGAACTGGGATAATGATCGGAACTCGTAGGTCCTCTATTAGGGGGAAGGCAAGGGCTGGGCACGGACTTCTAGTCCCCTAGGACATCAGAGGGTGGCATCCCCGGGTCCAGGGTACCCTCCCCCTCCCGTGTAGAGGGGCTGCAGTCCCGGGTACTGGAGTCCTTCAGATGGGAGGAAGTTGGGGGTCTTGATTCTGGGTCCTCCAATGGGGCGAGAACTGGGACTCGTAGATTCCTGGAAGACAAGGAGCCTGGGATCCCAGAATCATGGGTACCTCAGTGGCTAGGGAGCTAGGGCTCCGGGGAGAAGGGGGAGGTGGTTCTCCTGTGTTCCCCAGAGAGCAGGGGGGCTCGGATCTTTGGAGATTGAGAAGTGCGAGTTGAGAGCCGCAGGAGGAAGAGGAAATGTCGGCCCCCTCGGGCACCTAGGGGTCTCCAGGGGCGGGCTGCAAGCAGGGGATTCCTGGGCACACCTGTCCCCGGTCTGACCTCCGGGCAGAACCAGGCCCCTCCTCTTCCCAGCCGCACATTCCCGCGCCACGTGAGTCTTCCTTTCCGGCCTCCGCGCTTGGCGCACGCGCAGTCACGGGGGAGGGGCGGGGTCTAGGAAACGTGAGGGCGCCCGTGTAGTGGGGGGGGGGGGGGGGTAAGGAGAGGAGAGAAGCAGGCACCAGCACGTGACTCGGCCCCGAACCTGTGTCCTCAGCTGGCCCTGTCTTGCTCGCTCTTAAAGGGACAGGCACCTCTTCTTGAACCAACATTCTGGAACCTCAGAGGCGCCTCCTCTGCTCTTCTCTAACCCTCTGGAGCGAATAGCTCTTAGACTAACTTGAGTTCTTTTCAATGTAGTGGATTCTTTTTCCCTTAACCGTCTGGAGTCTGGGCTTTGGTCAGGATTGCAGGAAGAAAAATTCAGGCTAGACTATGGGAAAGAAGCTAACGCTATGAATATGAAGGCCTGAGGTTTTAGAGCTAATAGTCCCGAATCACATTGTTTAGTGCAAGTCAGCTATGTCCAGGCCTCAGTTTCCCACTTTGTAAAAGTGTAGTTAGCTCTATGATTTGTAAGCATCTTTGTGGTTTAGGAAATCATCTTGTCTTATATTGGGGAGGTTGATCCCTGGCAGGTTTTATGTTAGATCCCAGAAGGGTTTTCTGTGTGGTTAAGAGGAGGGTGGATATGACACCAGAGCAGGGGGTAGATGTTGGGAACCCCCTTCCCAAAATTAATACACACTTAAGTGACACAGTTTATTTCCCCAAGGCCTGAGCTCTCGGGACACACCCAGCCCTGTGGACCCAGACACTGTGGAGGTGCTCATGACCTTTGAACCTGATCCAGCTGATCTAGCCCTGTCCAGCATTCCTGGCCACGAGACCTTTGACCCTCGTAGACATCGCTTCTCAGAGGAGGAACTTAAGCCCCAGCCCATCATGAAGAAGGCACGGAAGATCCAGGTGCCAGAGGAGCAGAAGGTGAGCAAGGTCAGAGGTGGGACCCAGGCTTGGCCAGGATGGACCTTTCTTCACAATCTGGGCTTCTCATAGGATTATTGAAGGTTCTCCTGACCTGCACCCAAGGATCAGTACTCCTTGGCCATGGGGCACAAGGAGGCAGGTGTTTGGGCCTTAGATTTATGAAGATGTATCATTGAGCTGGGATCGACTCGGCAGTGGGTTAGTGGGTTTTTATCATTGTGGGTGGAGTCCTTGGGTGGCACAACCAGTTAAATGCTGGGCAGCTAACTGAAAGGTCGGCAGTTGGAACACATCCAGAGGTGCCTCAGAAGAAAGGCCTGGTGATAAGCTTCCAAAAGGTCACAGCCTTGAAAACCCTGTGGAGTACAGTTCTACTCTGTAACTCATGGGGGCTTCATGAGTCAGAACCAAGTTCATGGCAACTGGTTATTATCACTGTGAGATGCAGACTCAGCCAGCCTTGCTAGGCTCCGCTGTACACGCTGGGAGCTTCTCTTCTCAGTTGGGCCTAAGACACTCAATGGGGCAGGCTTCAGGCTCTACTCGGCCCAATTGCTAAGGGACAGCCTTCCTTAGCAATGGGGTGTCAGCCTGTCACTCCCTAGCAGCAGTCCAAGCTAAGGCTGGGCCTCTGATCTTTGCTTTGGGGCATCCTTTGGAATGGCCGTATCTCCCTACAATGCAACCTTTGCTAGTCCCTCCAAGCCTTGGTGACTGGAGCTGGACTTCTCACTGGGCTAGGTCTCAGGTTCTCTTTTGCTGCCAGTGCTCCATTCTGATTTGGTGTCCTTTGGGCAATGTCTGGGAGTCCCTGGGTGGTAAAGACAGTTAGCAAGCTCAGGTTCAAGTCCATCCAGAAGCACCTCAGAAGAAAAACCTGGCCTTTCACAGTCTGCTTCTGAAAAATTAGCCATTGAAAACCCTATGCAGCACAGTTCTATTCTGACACACATGGGGTCGCCATGAGTTGGAATCAACTTGAAGGCAACTGGTTATGGGGAGTGACTACATCTTTCTAGCATTCTTTCTTCGCCAGTTCTTGGGTCTCCCCTGTCAATGGGCACTTGGGCTCTTCTCACAAGATTTTGCCATGCCCTTGTGTAAGAAGCAGTCTCCTAGGCCGGTGGTTTCTCCTGCTGCAGGGCCGTGTTGCTAGGGTCTGGATTTTCCCTGGCAACCGAGAACTAGGCTTTAATTAAGGGGGGGGGCAGTTTTATGAGCTTGGTGGGCCTTGTTACTAAGGAGTGGCCCTCCTCAGCAACCAAATTCAGGGATTGGAGAACCCTAGGCATAGTGCTGTGCGGAGGTCTCAGGCTGGGCTCCATTGCTAAGGGGCAACTATTGTAGCAACTAGGGCCTGTTGGGAGGAGGTGCTCCCTGGCCAGGGTTCAAAGCCAGTGGGTCAGAGACTGGCCAAAGTCAGTGGGACCACTTAGGCCTTACCTTATGTTTGTTGAGGAGGGATGGGGTTGTGGCAGCCATGCTCAAAAGGAGTCCAGCTCTGGGAGGGTTTTATGGGACACCACACCTTTTGCTATCAGGATATGGAAGTGATATATATGGCACTGCTTTTCACGGAGAAGCTCTCAGACCCTGAAGGCCCTGTTGCTTGGGAACAAGCATCCTTAGCAACCAAGTGCTGACTGCAGACCCTTTGTCAAGTGGGAAGGGCTGAGTTGGCTTTGCACAGTGGTAACTTGAAGCTCAGTTGTTTGGGGGTGGGATATCTCATGCCTCAGCTGTTGCTAGGGGGCTGCTCTCCTCAGTGACCAGGGCCCTGGCAGGGCAGACCCTTCAGTATCTTTTAGGATCTACTGCTGGGGCTAGAAGCTCTAGGGGTCTCTTAAATGCCCCTTGGGTCTTGAAGGTACAGTAAGCCAGGCCACCCCTCCCCTCCTCTGTCCATGGGGCCTGGGCACCCCTGGACTTCAGTGCCGTCTCCCCCACCCCCAGGATGAGAAGTATTGGAGCCGGCGGTACAAGAACAACGAGGCGGCCAAGCGGTCCCGCGACGCCCGGCGACTCAAGGAGAACCAGATCTCGGTGCGAGCAGCCTTCCTGGAGAAGGAGAATGCCCTTTTGCGGCAGGAGGTGGTGGCCGTGCGCCAGGAGCTGTCCCACTACCGCGCAGTGCTGTCCCGCTACCAGGCCCAGCACGGGGCCCTGTGAGGCCGCTACCCCCAACCGGGCGGCACTCTCCTTCACCTTGCTCAGACTTGCTCCCTGACACCCTCCACTCTCCCCGCCCTGTGGCCCTAGGGCCGGTCAGCTGGGTGCCCCAGGGACGTGACAATGCAGATAAATACATTTATATTTTTAAGAAAAAGCAAGCCTTCCCCCTCCCTTGTGGGAGTGGGGAGGGGGCTGTGTGTGTGTGCCCCCAGCCTGCTGGGGAACCCAGCCTCCCACCGACTCCGTTAACACGATCCTGAATAAATCTTGAGAACCCTAGAGCCAGCTGTTGTGGGGGAGGAGGCACCTCCCTGGCCCCAGCTCAAGGCCAGTGGGTCAGACAGGCCGTGGCTCGTGGGCAGCGGTCCACAAGGCAGGAGCTGCTTCAAGTGCTACCGCTCGAATCTTCCCACGGGCTTCCGGATAGACGAAGGGGCGAGGGCCTAAGAAGAATGAAGCGAACGCCTTTATTGCATAGACCTTTTCAATTGCTTTGAAGATCGGGGACAGGAACTAGGGACACACTTGAGACAGGAGACAAGGGGAGTAAGCTTCCCCGCCCCCACGGGGGGAGGAAGATTAGTGCAAATACGAGTGCGGGCCCCGGGGAACCTGCCCCTCGTGGGCTGATTGGCCAGTTAAGTGCAGGCACCGAAGTGGACAGGGCGAGATCCCGGTGCTGACTGGCCAATTAACTATGGCCTTCCCCGGCTTGTATATTTCGGGTTTCATCCGCGTTAGCTACGCTCCGCCCTCAGTCGCCCTGGCCTCTAGGAGCTGGAAGCGAGGGTCTGGATTGAGCCACGTCCCCCTAGAAGCGGCTGGAGTGCAGACGCCAGGTCCTGCCATCGTGGGTCAGGCAATACCGTTGGGGTGCACCCATGTACCTGTAACCGTCCTGCCCACCCCTGGAATTCAGGCTACCCTCCGGCTTTGTGTCTGGTCCCCTGGGGGGGGGTGCAATCCTGAGACTGGGCCAGGCCCCGGCACTTGAGGCCTTCGCCCTAAACTCTAGCAGCTAGATCATCTCCAGTTCAGGCTCCGCCCCTTGGAATGTAGGCCCCGCCCCCAACGAACTCCAGGCTGTGTATGAGGCTCAGGACTCGCCTCCTGGCGGCCCAGTGAGCAGCGTACCGAGGCCCGGGTGCATCTGCGCCTGCACTGGTCCGTACTCCACCTGCTCGCCATCCACCGTGAGCACGCCGCGAGGCGTGAGCGGCTCGAGGCGGAAGGCACGAGCCGCGGCGTAGCCCAGCTGAGGGCAGCCCAGGCCAAAGTGGCTACCACGCTCCATAGCCAGGAAAATGCGCAACAAGGTGGCCCGTGAGATGCCGCCACGCACCCAGCACAGGTGCACCAGGCCATCGTCAAAGCGAGCGTGAGGGGCTGCCACCATGTCAGCACCAAGGTGGCTGGGCGAGATGGCCAACAGGAGCACAAAGTCCTCCTCCATTGTCACCCAGCCTGGGGGCAGCGGGGCACCCAGAGGAGGCAGCAGGTGGTCAGGTGGGCCCCAGGTGGAGGCAGCTGCCAGGGAATCAGGGCAGGGATGCGGAAGCCCAGAGGGTGCTGGAATTTCTGGGGGCCCCTCAGTGACAGGTGAGAGGACAGCTGCTCTGGGAGAGCCAGGGGGTGAGGGCAGCAGTGGGTCTGGGGACAGTGGAGCATCCCCAGCCCCACCCCAGTCTCCAGCCAACTCTGGGCCGCCACCATTGAGGGACAGAATGGGCAGGGGTTCAGGTGAGCCAGGGGAGGCCAGGGCAGGCTGGGGCAGGGGTAGGGGCAGGTCAGACACTGAGCGATGCAGGGGCGAGTGGGCCATGGGCAGGGCTGGCTCTGGGGCCAGGGTCAGCTCCGATTTGGCCCGGGGCAAGCCATGGGTGGGTGTGGGCGAGGCAGGTTCCCCGGTGGCGGGGAGATAGGAGAGGCGTCCGCGGTAGGTGTGTAGTGTGGCGAGGCCCAGCACTGTGCCCAGAGTGAAGCGGGCACTGCCCAGGGCCCTGAAGCGCTCGCTCTGGATATCCACGTCTGACACGAAGCCCCAGGCCACGGACAGGAAGGATAAACAACGGGAGCCTGAGGCCAGCGTCACAGACAGCAGGTCCAGTGGGCGGCTGCCACCCCGGCAGAGCAGTAGAGAGCAGTTGAGCAGCAGATCAAGGCCCAGAGCTGGTGCAAACCTTCATGCCCAAGGTGGGTGACACCCAGGGGGAAAAAGCAAAAGGAGGTGGGTGAAAGACGCAGATGGGCAGGAAAGCCCAGAGCACGGAGACCAGGGGGCGGCTCCCTCCAGATGGGCTCATCTTACTGGGCTCCGTTTTAGTTCGTTCATTAGATAAGCATTCACTGAGTGCCTGCTGTGTGCCAGACACAGTTCCAGGCATACAGCTGAGAAGAAGACAGGAGACAATGTCTGGGGGGTGGGGAAGGCTCTGGATGGGGTGAGGGAGAGATGTGGGGACAGATGTTTAGTGCCATTAAATCAATTCCGACTCACAGCGACCCTATATAAAAGAGTAGAACCTCCCCACAGAGTTTTCTAGGCTGTGATCTTTCCAGGAACAGATCACCAGGTCTTTCTCCCACAGAGCCACTGAGTGGGTTCAAACCAACAGACTTTCAGTTAGTAGCTGAGTGCTTAACTGTTGCACCACCAGGACAGATGTATCTGGTCCTTACTACCCTGGGTGGACTCATCCCTCCCTCACTGTAGCCTCAGCTCTGGGATGCAGCAGCAGGTGCCCCAGCAGGGATGCCCGACCTACCCCCCGTGCTGGTTCACCGCTCCAGCCAGCGCATTGCCTGAGCCACACGGGAGGATGCCTACGGGAGTCTTCACAGCCTCCTCCCAGTCAGGGCGATCGAGGAGCCCGTTCAGCACCTGCAGGGTGGGAGACCAGCCACCTGAGTCCTGGTTCTAGCCTCCAGGGTCCCCGAGGGTGCAGGGTAAGCAGCAAGTGCTCCTGCCCTACCTCATAGAGCAGCCCATCTCCTGAGACTGTGACAATGCCGTCCCACTCGCTCAGGCTCAGCCCCTGGACCAGTTCCCGGGCGTGGTTCTGCCGCTCTATGTGGGAGCCAGCAGGTGAGGCAGGTTGTTTCATCCCTCACTCACCTCGCTGCTCCCGTAAGTCCCCAGAGTCCTGCCACCTCCACTGCTTTCCCAATACCCAGGAGACCCCCCCATTACTCCTCCATGACCCAGGAAACCCCTCCATTGCTCCCCCAGGACCCAGGAGACCTTACCCATTCATCCCCCAATACCCAGGCGACCTGCCCCCCATTACTCCTCCAGGACCCAGGAGACCCTCCCATTATCCCCCCAGGGCCCAGGAGACCCTCCACTGCTTCTCCAGTACTCAGGAGACCTCCCCCATTGCTCCCCTAATAGCTAGGAGACCCACCCCTCATGACTCCCCCAAGACCTAGAGTCCAGCCCCCTTTAGTTTTCCCCTGGGACTCAGGTGTCCAGGCCTCCTGCCTTCCTCACTCAGACCCAGGATGGCGGAGTGAGATCTGCCAGCTCCTGCCTCCCGTCCTGACCAGGCCCTTACCTGTCTGTATGAGGTTGAAGGACAGCCCAGCTTCGGAGATCATGGGCAGCACGTGGTTCTTACACCACTGCCAGGCCAGGCCCCGCCCCCCAAAGGGATTGACCAATAGGAGCAACCGGGGTGGCCGGGGCAGCAGCTCCGGAGTGATCTCTGCAGAGAGAAGGGGGATCTAGAGGCCAGCAGTGGGGGACTGGCACCCAGAACCTTCTGGAAGGTGTTTTTTCCTCGCAGCCTGAGCTCACCTGGCCAGGCTCAGGTGTGCAGCCCCACTCCCATCCCACGTGCTGGAACAAAGGCAAGGCTCAGGTGTCTAATCCCAGTACTCTTTCGCTCCTTGTGTTGCAGGAGCTGTGGTTTCCACTTTCCTCACTGGAACACCTGGACCCAGCAGCAGGTTACTCCACTGTGCCAGACTCCCTCTCTATCCCCATCCCTTGAGGCTCTAGGGGCCCCCAGGCAGCCAGCAGGACCCTGGAGGACCAAGGCAGGCCCATGAGATGGGGACCCTTGGCTAGTCACCTTCCTGTGCCAACTGAGGATCCCAGAGGGGGCCTCTGCCAGGAAGCCTTCTCTCACCCTCCCAGGCTGAAGCAGAGGTTACCTCTGGGCTACTGGGTGCCCTACAGGGCCTCTGTAACACCTGTCACCCTGAGTGGTGGCTAACCATGTCTTGGTCGGGTGCCCCTACCAGCCTGGTGGCCTCTGAGTCATTGTGCTCAAGACCCATGGAAAGTGGGAGGGGACAGAAGGGCCTAGCAGAGGGCAGCAGACACAAATCATTTCTGCCTGTGTTTTTTTGTTCCGTTAGTTGGCGTCAAGTCGATTCCGACTCTGGGTGACCCCATGTGTGCAGAGTAGATCTGCTCCATAGGGTTTTCAAGGCTGTGATCTTTCGGAAGCAGATCGCCAGGCCTGTCTTCCAAGACGCCTATGGGCAGGTTTGAACTGCAAACCTTTTGGCTAGCAGTAGAGCTCTTAACCGTTTGTTCCTTCTGTTGCCCGTCTCTGTCTGTATTACTCACTCAGCAGGGACCCAGTGAGAGACTCTTTTGTTCTTTCTGTTGCCCATCTCTGTCTGTATTACTGATTCTGCAGGGACCCAGTGAGAGACCTCATACAGACAGACACACAGAAAGGTACAGACAGAGGGAGCCTCAGGCGAGAACAACAGCCCAGCGTCTCACCCCCATCCCCAGGCAGTGGAAGCCCACGGAGCAGGCACATGAGGGTGGTGGCCCAGCGCTGGGCCTCGGCACGGTTCTCCTCATAGGCTGCTGCCCCATCGGCCCGGAAGGTGCGTGTGACTCTGCGCCGGGCCCCACGCCGGCCCCGCGGGTAGGTGTAGATGCAGAAGTAGGCTGCGGAATCCAAGGGGCTGCGGCTGCGCAGGGTGCAGCAACCTGAGACCTCAGCCAGGGGGACCAGGCCACCCCGGGGCCGGGCTTCAGGCTTCGGGCGCAGCCGCTGGATGTGCAGGGCCTGTGGTGTAAGGGTGAGGGCAAAGCGGGGGCCGCGGGCCGGGTAGGAGCCAAACTCTCCGTGCAGGAGGGGGGTACTGGCAGCCAGTAGTGGTGCTGGTGGGGCCATGGCCTTGGCCCTGTCCAGGGTACTCCCAGGCCCGGGTCTGTGACTCCAGGTCAGCTCCTGGTCCGGCCTCTGTAGGGAGAGAGGAGGGCAGGGGTCAGAGCCCAGGACCACCAGGGTGTGGGGAAGAAGGGGTAGGGCCTGTGGACAGGAGAAGACAAATGAGGGGCACGGACAGGTGAGATACTAGCACCAAAAACAGGCCCCAACAGGTATGGGGAGACCCTGAGGACACAGGGCCAGCATCCCAGAGGGTCCAGAGACTCAGGCATGCAAGCATTCACTCATTTATTCCCCAAATAACCACTCAGTATCCTCTACATGCCAGTCATGATGGCAGCCCCAGCAAACACAGTAGGGAACAAAACAGACAAAAATCCCTGCTCTCATGGAATTTACGTTCTAATTAGATGGCAGAAAAACAAGATGAAGTAAAATGTACAGTGTGTTGGATGATGACGAGGGTTTTGTAGGAAAATAAGGCAGGGGAGTGGAATCGGGATGGTGGAGACACGTACAGAAAGAAACACGCAGGAACAGAAACACACACACACCCACAGCGGGAGAATAACAAGGGAGAGAGAGACTCGGACACAAAGTGAAAGAGGAATAAGGTATGAGAGCCAGAAAAACACGGGGAAGGAGACATACAGCATCAATGAGATGAGACCCAGATCGCCGAAAGATACTTAGAGAGGAGCTAAGAGTTCAGGAACTCCAGGATGCCCTCTAAAAGGGTCGGGAAGACATCTGGGGCAGAGTTAGAAGGATGAGAGAAGACAGAGGAGAAAGAGGCAAGAAGCAGGTGGTGTGGACAGATGGAGACTGAGAAAAGGCTGCAACACGGAGGGACTCGGGGGCCAGAGAGCGATAAGGCCACATGCTGGCACCTTCGAGGGGCAGGGGCTGAGAGCTAGCCCCTGAGCACTGACCTGGGCGTCTGGCCACCTGCTCTCCAGGGAGGGTGTGGGAGCCGGGACTGAGGTCCCCTCCCCAGAGCCTCTCCCTTGCCCTCTGACCATATCTCCTCCTTCCTGCTCACCTTTGTTTCTCACTGCCCTGCCCAGCCAACTGCTGGGCCGGCCAGCACCTTCTCAGGGCCCAGAGCTGCCCCAGACACATGCCCATCATCAGGAGCCACCTCTGCCTCCCTTCCCTGGTGGCTCCCAAAGGTCCGGGGTACCTGCCTCCGCCCCCAAACTGCACCGATCCCCTTCTGGGAGCCTTGAATCAGGTTCAGGCACAGACCCTAGATCCAGTCCCAGGCCTGGGTCTCTGTCCCTGGGGTACCCCCAGTCTCTGAACTGGTCTCCATTATTTCCCCATTCCCTAGCTACCCTAGACCTGGGCCTGGGTCTCCATCCATAGGTCCCCTGACCCACAAGCCTGGGTCTACGTCCCCGGGTCTCCCAGCCCGGGGCCTCCATCCCCATCCCATTTCCAGAACCCTGGATCCCTCAGTCCGGGTCCTGGAGCTCCATCTCCATCCCCCACCCCGATACCCCAGTCCCAGGCCTGCGTCTCCGTTCCTCTAAGTTCCTCAGTCCCCCCAACTCGGGCCCCTTCCCCAACCCCCGCACCCTCTTCACATGCCGGGTCCTCCTCCAGGCGGCCCCTCAAGACAGCACCAACCACTCCCATCAGATCTGGGGGTGGGGGGAAGGGTGTGCTCGACTTAGCCAATCGCCGAGCGACCGGTCTGAGTCGGACCAATGAGAGCTCGCGGGGAGGAGCGAATCGACTCGCGAGCTTGTCGCAGGGGCAGGCCGAGGGAAGAGCCCGAGAACAGGGCGGGGCATCCCGCCTGGCGAGACCCACCGCCATCCTAGGTGAGGGGAAACGCGCAGCAGAGGGGGTGTCCCAGTCCCATAGCCAGCCACAATGCCGCCATCTTTGTCGCGGGCACGTGAGTCTGTCCCATCCGTTGAGTTTATAAATGAGACAAGGGGGAGGAGACTTTAGCTGCTGAGACAGAGAGCCTGACAACCCAGGCATACGGTAACAAATGCCCAAAAACGTGCAAAGGGGTAGTAAAACAGATTCAGCGAGGCAGAAACCCAGAGAAGCAGAAGAGTCAGAGACAACAAGAGAAGGAAGTCTCTACTTCAGTTACAAAGAGACACAGACTCAGACAGAGAAAAGCAGAGATACAAAGAGACAAAAGCAGCAAGAGTGACAATGAGCAAGGTAAGGAGACAGAAGACCCCGAAAATGACACTCTGGAATGAAAACCAGGGACGAGAGGCTCATTAATTCACAGATTATTTACCTTGGGCTCAAACCAGAGCGGAGGCAACATGAGATAAACATCTGCCCAGTGAATGACCCAGTCAGTGGCTTGCTTGTCTAGAGAGAGATACAGAAGAGAGATGGGGAGAGAGACTTCCGGGGGAAGGGGAAAGGCTTAGAGAAATAATGTTGGGAGGCCCAGAGGCTGAGAGAGACCGAGACCAAGAGAGACAGAAAGCAAAGATGTTAAACACACACAGAGGCAAAGGCATGGTGAGGTGGAAAGGAAACACGAAACCCATTGCTGTCGGGTCGATTCCAACTCATAGCGACCCTACAGGACAGAGTAGAACTACCCCATAGGGTTTCCAAGGAGTGGCTAGTGGATTCGAACTGTCAACCTTTTGGTTAGCAGCTGTAACTCTTAACCACTGCGCCACCAGGGCTCCAAAAAGAAGTAGGGTAAGGCCATATCAGGAGACTTAGACAGGGACAGAACTTTACTAGAAAGAGACAAATGGAGGAAAAAGTTCCTTTCTTGCCAGACAATGTACTTTGCATCCAACCCAGGGTAGCAACCACCACCACCACCACCAGTTACTGTCAAGTCCATTCCAACTCATGGCAACCCCATGTGTGTCAGAGTAGAACTATGCTCCATACAGTTTTCAATGGCTGTGATCTTTTGGAAGTAGATCGCCAGGCCTTTATTCCAAGGCACCTCTGGCTGGATTCGAACCGCCAACCTTTTGGTTAGTAGTCGAGCACATTAACCATTTGCACCACCCAGGGACACCTCCAGGGTAGCAACATCATCAGATAATAAGTGCCAAGGAATGCCCGCAAAGAAAGAGGGACAGAAACCCAGTGAGACAGAGAGACACAGCATCAGAGCTTGGGACCAGGAGAGAGAAAAGCAGACACTGACCAAAAAAGCTGAGACTCAAACACTGAGACCCAGTTACAGAGACGAGCGAACAGGGAGGAGGAGGAAAAGGAAGCAGAGATGAGCGCCTGGAGCCCCCCAAAGGAAGGAGAGATGAGGGGCTCCAGGCCCCTCACAAAGACTTGCTGTGTGACCTCAGGGAAGCCCCTGGCTTCTCTGGACCTCAGCTGCCCTGTCTGTGACATGGAGAGAAAGCGAATCTGACCTGCCTGGAGAGAAGGTCTGAGATGGCAGGGCCTTGGGTGATGCATCCCACAGTATTGCAGTCTTGGCTTTCAGATGGGCCCTTACCTGGTCCCGCTGTTCCTCTGCTTCAAGGCATCCATTCATTTGCCTGCCCTCTGTTCTGTTACCACATCAGCACGACCCAGGCCCTGGGTCTTAGGTTACTGTGAGTGGGGGCACAGCAGGGGGAGCAAGGAGTCAGACACCACAATCCAGGCCTGGCCTTTGGCTCTGTGGAGGAGAGGCACAGTGAATAGGGCAGACAGCAATAGGTGCTGCCAGGTGTGCTTGAACCTCCCAGGTAGGGCCTCCCTGAGGAAGGAAGAAAGAGAGGGTAGGTCAGCAGGGCTTCAAACCAGTTCTGCCTGGTTCAGTCATGGCTGAGGAAGTGTCACCGGAACAGACTTGAATTTTTAAAGTTATGGTGAACCGGAAAGAGCCTGAATGGGAAAAATTACGAGTTGAAGCCCTGCTAGAAACTTAATCTCCCTCTTAGAGAACAAGGGCAGCACTTGCATCGCATAGCAACCAAATCTCTTGCCCTTGGATTTTGAGCACAGCCTGAAGCAGCGTTGTCCCACTCAAAGACAGCAGCTGACCGTGCTGCTTTGAATGTGTGTCGCTCTCCATAGTCCTGCCAATAATCCAATCTCATGCATCAGACTCCTGAAAGAGCTCACTATGCCTCTTCCGAGTCTCCCATTCCAGGGCTTCGACCTGTAGTTTTTCCCATTCTGGGTACTGTGCTGAATCTGCCAAATGGGAAAACTTTGAGTCTGTTCCTATTTTGCTTCACTGGCCATGACTGAACTGGTTTAAACTGGTTTGAAGGTTCAGCCTCATTACTGCCCCAGCCAGTCCATCTGATCACACTCAATAAGAATTCATTTTTGTTATGTTGTTAGGTGCCATCGAGTCAATTCTGACTTATAGTGACCCCATGCACAACAGAACAAAACACTGCTTGGTCCTGCACCATCCTCACAATCATTGCTACGTTTGAGTCCACTGTTGCAGCCACTGTGTCAATCCATCTCATTGAGAGTCCTCTCTTTTTCGATGACCCTCTGAGACAGATAGGGTTAACTGTGCTGGCAGAATAAAAGAGCTGTTAAAAGACTACCAACTAGAAGTTGGGTATACAGGAACCACATCTTATCAACATAAAATAAGGTCAGAACAACCCGTGAATTACTATTTCCTCCTTCATGTTTTTTCTGGTCCCTTTCCCCTTCTTACAGGTTCTGCATGTGCAGAAGAACAAAGTGTGACCACTGTTTTGGCCCACCGAAGGGGTCGAAGTAATACAGATCAGTGCACCTGCGCCATATCCCATAAGTGATGCCGAGAGCTGCCAAGGGGACTCCGTCTTGGATATCAGCAGGTTCCATCCTGGATTCCAGATGCACAGGCAACCTAATTAGTATGCACTACCATTCCAAGGAGCACCCACCCCTCTGAAGAAACCCACTGAATATTCATTGCTCTGTTGTCCCCACCGAACCCATATAAGCCCTAGCCTTGCTTCTCCTTGTGAGACAGTCTTTTGGAGAGGCGTGAGCCCTGACTGACTCCTGTTACTTGTCACAAGTAAAATAAACCTGTTAGAGCTGAACCCAAAAATTGTCTCCTCTATATATTCTTAAAAAAAAAAGACAAGGACCCATTAAGTCTGGAGGGCCTCCATGCCCTCGGTGGTAACACCTCCACTTTACCAAGCATGATGTCCTTTTCCAGGGATTGGTCCCTCCTGACAACATGTCCAAAGTAAGCAAGACAAAGTCTCGCCATCCTCACATTTAAGGAGCATTCTGGCTGTGCTTCCTCCAAGACAAATTTATTCGTTCTTCTGACAGTCCATGGTATATTCAACACTCTTTCCCAATACCATCGAGCACTTATTATGTGCACAGCATTGTCCTATGCACTTTTATTAACTGAGAATCCTGGAAACCACTCGATGTGGCAGACCTGTTATCATCTCCATTTTGCAGATAAGGAAAGTAAAGTACAGAGAGGGTAAGGGACTTGCCCAAGGTTACACAGTAAGCAAAAGGGCCAGGATTTGAATTTGGTGACGGGGCAAGGCACTATCTCACATCTTTCTACATCTCTTCTTCTCTGGATGTCCATCTTCCATTCCCCCACCACTACCAACGTACGTCCACCCCCTACCCCGATCTGTCTCCCCCTTTTCTGGATCTTTTTACCGGCTCTCCCCACCCCCGACCCCCAGACAGGGGCCTCAGTGCACTTCCTCTGCCTTCCGTACCGTGCATACCCCCCGCACCAACGCCCCCTGGGCAAGGTAAAACCTCTTTGGCTGGGAAAAGCCGACCTCAGGAGACGAAGGCTGGGGGTAGTCAGGGAAGGGCCATCTGGGGGCAGGAGGGAAAGTGGGAACGAAAAGGTGGAAATGCAGAGTAGGCTGCAGCGAGAAGATTTCGGGTTAGACCTCAAGTAGAAATTCCTGACCTGCGGCCGCGCTTGGGGTGCAACAGGAGATACGGAAGACGTGAGATAAATCAGGAAACGCCCGAAGCTTAGGATCAGAGGTTTTCCAACGCCCGAACTAGCCTCACCAGCCCCGCCTCCTCACCTCCAATACTCGGCCTGCCGAGTCCTCCGGAGCCGGTGAGAGGCTGTCGGCGTCGGGCCAGAGCGTCACCGCGTGACGCGTCCTCCTAGCTCCGCGCGACATGTCTCTCGCTCCCAGATCATTTTCTTCAGGAAGAGTATAGAGAACAGGGCCTGTTGAAGGCCAGAAAGGCCTCCGACGTACTGGCCCTTCCTTCTGCGACGTCGCTCTTGTTATTCTTTGGTTGTCACTCCGTCGTATTCCGGACTCTCTCCTTTAGCCGGTCCTCCGACACACCACAAAGAGGCCGGGTTGTGGTAGAGCGCCGCGTGGCGCTCATGTGACGTCACGTGGGCGCCATTCTCTGGAGGCTTTCCCCGCCCACGCCAGCGCTGTTCTTTCTTTCCAGACCTCGCTGAGCAAGGGGTGCAATCATGGTGAGCGCGTCTGGCGGCGTTCAGGGCTTGACCATCCGCCGTCATCCGCCGCGATCTTGGGCCGGGGGCTTGCCAGAGGGGGGCAAGGGTGTCAGGGGTGTCCGAAGAAGCTGACTCCCGAGGCGGGGGAGACTACTTTGGGGGTCTGGGGACCCGGAATCGGTCAGGGTCACTTAAGTCTCCGGTCCCTTCCGCACCTCTTTATTAACGTTTCCATGAATAGATGACCAAACTGAGGTATGGAGAGATTAATATGATTGGGGCCACAAGGCCACCAAGTGGCGGAGCCGGATTCGGACCCAGGCTCTGGCCCCGTAGGCACTCTTAACCACTTGTCTTTGCCGCCACTACCGGCAGCTGCCGACCTGTCACTCATCAGCCTGGAGAGACGGGTTTTTTTGGGGAGTCGAGGGCCAAGTGCCCGGGCTTTGGGACCAGGCAGGCTTCCACTGGATTCTTAGCTCCCTGGCCACAGTGTTACCTTGGGGTAGGGCCTTGCTTTCCGGGCTTGTGCCCCAGTTTGCTCATCTCTCCACTAGGGACGCGGTCGTTCTATTGCCTGGGTTTGTGCGTTTTGGAAGAGGTAGTTCATAGGAAGTGTGCATCTGCAATAAAGCAAGTGCTGTTAACACCTAAGTAGCTGTTTACGATTATTAACGCGATCTTTAAAATCTCAATAACTGAGAAAAACAGGCAGAGATTGTAGTGGGAATTGTGGGGTTTCTTTAGCTCTAAGTTGGGAATAATAACAGAAACTACCCAATAGGATTGTTAGATTCAGGGAGATACTGAATGAAAAGTAGTTCTAGTTTGACACAGAGGAAGTTCTTTTTTAAAAAAAAGAAAGATGCATTGCTATCGTTATTTAGAGTCTGCCTTAGGTTTAAATGTTTTGGGTCACTCCAGGTGTGGGAGCCAGTTTTTAGGAACTTAAGTAATACTTAATGTTATAAAATACAGTTTCTAAAGAGTTGAACGTTCTTTTGCTGATGTAGTACTGCTCCTGCGTTAAGAGTTTTGACAGTTTGTTGTGTGCTGTGTGCTAAAAGTTTTGCACGTAGATTTGTTCCCTTTTTTTAAGTGTCCCTTGAGCCCCAGAGGTTTTTAAGTGACTCGCCCAGAGGTGTCCCGGTGGTGGAGCTGAGATTTGAGCTGTTGTCTCCAGAGACTTGGGCCCCCTTTGATCTTGGTTTCTGGGGTGAGTGATCTGCCAGATCCTGAGTCAGGTCCACGGTCTCCCCTTCACTCCCGTAGGGAGTTGACATCCGCCACAACAAAGACCGGAAGGTTCGGCGCAAGGAGCCCAAGAGCCAGGACATCTACTTGCGGCTGTTGGTCAAGGTGAGGCTGGGGCCTGAGTCCTTGGGGCAGGGCCACCTCAGAGCTGTGACTAGCAGCACTTCTAGTGTGTGTACCTGGCTCCTTCCAGGGGCCTGCAGGGCAGGCTCACACCTCTGGATCTGTCACTGTGTCCAGAGCTTCTGGAAGGTTCATGTTTCAGCCTCTGAGCTGTGTTCAGGTGGGGAGGGACTTTCTGGGTCCCTGGCCAAGAGGGACCTGGACCTGCTCTGCATCTTGAGCTCTGCGGGATATGGGAAAAGCTCAGTCAGTGGCTGCACAGCAGGCCACAGAAACCTTTCTAGCCTGAATCATCACTGATTTGTCTCTTCACTAGAAAGTAGGGGGTGGGAAGGGTGGGGTACCCCGGGTTCTCATGCCTCCCTTTCCCTTCCCCTGCAGCTGTACAGGTTTCTGGCCAGACGAACCAACTCTACCTTCAACCAGGTTGTGCTGAAGAGGCTGTTCATGAGCCGCACCAACCGGCCGCCTTTGTCCCTTTCTCGGATGGTGAGAGGTTGTTGCAGGGAGGACGTGGGGGCAGCTGCCTGGGAGTCAGCTGGTGTTACACTCAGTGGTGGGTACAAAGCTCTGGCCTTTGGTTGTAGCAGAATAGCCGTGGGCAACTGGCTTGGCCTTGTTTTCCCCCCTTGTGAAGCTAGTGGCTTCCTCTGAGGTTGTCCTGAGACTTATGTGTCTCACACAGGCGCTCTATAGGAGAAATCTGGTGAACAACCTGTGCTTAAACGTTTTCATCTGTGGGTTTTCCTAAGCTAGACCTGAGAAGTCTCCTTTTATTCAGGAAGGCATTTTGTGAGTGGGCTTAGCTTTGTCAGAGGGCATAACTGTCCTGGTCCTTGGGCTGCCTGAAGCGGGGGGATTGGATTTAAACATCAGAAGGGACTTTATCTCATTTTGTGCATCACCCCCCACCCGCCCGCCAAGATCCGGAAGATGAAGCTTCCTGGCAGGGAAAACAAGACAGCTGTGGTCGTAGGGACCATAACAGATGATGTGCGGGTTCAGGAGGTGCCCAAGCTGAAGGTGAGTGGGGTGTGGGCTCCAGGGCACAGTGGCTGGGTCAAGAGCACAAGCTTCAGGGTGGAGGTGTGCAGACCTGGCCTGCATCCTTGCTCTGCCATGTGGCATTGGGCCCATGATGTGTCCTTGGTCACCTTGGGGAGAGACAGGGAGCATTTAGGATTGAACAGCGGTGGTCACTGACACTAAGACCTGCCTGTTGATAGTCGGTGCAGCCCTGAGCAAGACCTTTCTGGCCCTCAGTTTCCTCGTATACTGTTGGCAGTATTTCCTTTCAAGCCAGATGACTGGGGTTCAGATCCGGCTCTTCGCTATTCTGTCACTTCCGGACAAAGTCCTTAATCTTTTAGGCTTCAGTTCACTTATACGTAATAACATGGAGGACCTTCTAGGGCTGTGGCGATCTTAGGTGAGTCTCTAGGTGTAAACAGTAAGAACAGCCACTGTTAACTTCAGAAGGCCCTCGTAACCATTGATTGTGTTACCAAGGAAGTAGTCGGGGCCACTGCTGGCCAGGGTGGTGGATGTTAAGTCCCAGCAGCCCCTGGGGTGCCGAGCAGTGGGCCCTGACCCCACCTGTACTTTCCCTCAGGTGTGCGCGCTGCGCGTGAGCAGCCGGGCCCGGAGCCGCATCCTCAAGGCTGGGGGCAAGATCCTCACCTTTGACCAGCTGGCCCTGGACTCCCCCAAGGGCTGTGGCACTGTCCTGCTCTCTGGTGAGTGATGCTTCATTGGCTGCTGGACTTGTGGGGAGCCCTGGTGGGGGGATGTGAGGAGGAGGTGGCCTGGCGTGAGCCATGTGATTCCTGGGGGGCTGGACCCCTTCCTGTGTGAGGTTAGGTATCGGGTCCCTGCCTTACCCACCCCCTCCCTATTCTTTCCCCAGGTCCACGCAAGGGCCGCGAGGTGTACAGGCATTTCGGCAAGGCACCGGGAACCCCGCACAGCCACACCAAGTGAGTATTAGGCCCCAGCCCCTCCTGCCCCTTCATCCCCGCAGCGTGGCCCTGTCATCTCCCCCTGCACCCAACCCCCAGGCCTGACACCCCACCAAACTGCTTCTGCTGTTTTGTACCCTAACTCACCCTTGGGCCTCCCAAGGACTACCACCTCACGTTACCCCCTTTTTCCTTTGCAAGTCAACTTAAATCTCTGCTCCTTGAGGTGTTGCACTCCAGCCAGTGCCTCAGCCAGCATCTCCCCGCTTTGGGAGCCTACATTCCGCCCAGCCTCAAGCCGACTCAGGTTGAGAGTCTACAGGGCAACCGCAGGCTCGTCAGCCACCCCTGACATCTTAACTGTTGCCCTGATCCTTCTCGGGTTGAGTGTGGTGCTCTCTGGGTTCCCTAACGGCCGCCCTGTGTCTCTCACCTCCGCAAAACAGGCTCACTCTCACTTTCTTCCTCTTCTCCCTGCAGACCGTACGTCCGCTCCAAGGGCAGGAAGTTCGAGCGTGCCAGAGGCCGACGGGCCAGCCGCGGCTACAAAAACTAACCCCAGATCCTACTCTGTTATTAAAAAGATTTTGGATGCAGATGGCTCTTTGTGTGTTATTGGGGGGCGGGGAGGGGATGGGGCCTGCTGGTGAGAATGTCTTCGGTTTGGGGGAATTGCACGCTGAGTCCTTGGAGACCAGTCCCTCCACTGCGCAGGGTGAGCTCCTGATCCATGGGTTCGCTGGAAGGCGGCCAGGCGGCCACTGCCTGCGCAGCGACTTGACCCTCCCTGGACCTAGAGGCCTTTTCTTTTATTTATTTTATTCATGAAACAGTAGTACACATATTGTTTTACAACGTTGCTTAACCTCACAACATGTCAACCCTCTTAACTTCTCAACTTTTTTTTTGGTGAAAATACACATAGCCAAAGGTACACCATTTCAAAAATTTCTACATGCACAGTTAAGTGACATTGACTACGCTCTTCCGATTGTGCTGCTATTCTCACTTAAGATGAAGACTTACAGAACAAAATAGTTTTTCGTTTAATAGTTACTACACGTGTTGCCTTAGGGGGCCTTTCGCAGCCCCCAGGGCCGAAGCGGAAACCCGGGTGGCAGTAGTGGGTAAGAGTTTGGCTGCTAACCAGAAGGTCGGCAGTTAAAATACACCAGGCGCTCCTTGGAAACCCTATGGGGCAGTTCTACTCTGTCCTATACGTCGTTATGAGTTGGAATCGACTCCCCAGCGGTGATGGGTTTTTTTGTTTGTTTAGGGCCAGGCCCCGCCCTTTTTAAAGGGCCTGCGTTGGCTGGCGCTCTGGCCTGCCGGAGGTGTGGTCAGGGAAGTGCAGAAGGGGCAGGGCTGCGGTGGGGGAGGGTGAGCATGGGAACAGGTGAGGTGCTCCCACTCCCCTGGGACCAGGAGGGCCGGCCTGTGGCCTCTGGGCGAGGAACCGGTTGAGTATGCTCCTCAGGCTGGGACCATCTAATCATCCCAGGCCCCACACTCCTAAACCTCCCCCAGGGGCCTGCGTCGGCCCTCCCCGTTCTGTTTACATAAGGGGCTGGGTTCCCCAGATCCCAGGCTGAAGCCCAATGAATGAGGCAGCGTACCGGAAGAACCGCAGAAATCCAGGCAGGAGGTCTCCGCGCCCGTCCTCCCCGGTCCTTGGAAAAGGCAAGAGAGGGGCTCGGGGGATGGAGACCTAGAAGCATAGAGGGTGCAACAGGAGTGAGGACAGGCCGGGGCGTGAGGGTGATCGGTGGGGTGCGGTTGCGGGGAGGGCGGCCTGGCTTGATTCCTACTCCTCTTTGCAGGGCTCTGAGCTGTGGCCTGAAGGAAGGGAGCTGGGGCTGCCCGGATTGAAACGAGTGGCCCCTGGCTGAAAGGGGCCCATAGTCTAGGGGTTTGGTCACGGGCCTCAGAGCGGCTGCTGGGGCTAAGGAGGGAGGCAGGCCAAGATATAGACCAGTGGATGGTCAGCTGGCTGGAGACACTGGGATTCAGGCAGAAATCCGGGCTGGGGTCAGCTTGGCCAGGGGTCAGCCCAGATCCGTCGGCAGCCTGAAGCAGCTCTGTGGCTAGGGAGACAGCCAGGGCCAGCTGGCCTGAGAAATGGTGGCTGGTTGGTACCCCCCAACCTCAATGGCCTGTTGAAGTCATGGACTGTTTCTATAATGATGAGAACCTGTGTCCAGTGCATCACTCTCTCCTGGAGCAGCCCGAGGGTCTGTGAGGGTCTCTAGAGGAAGTGAGGTCCCTGACTGACAGAGGGGAAGACTGAGGCCTGGTCTTGGCACTGGGGAAGGGCGATGCCTGCAAGGCTGAGAGAAGGCCCCAGGTGATCAACTGGTAAGAGCTAGTGAGCTGGTGGCAGCAACTGACTAGAGAAACTGGTCAGGTGGTCAGCCAGCTAGATCTGTGGAGACAGCTGGACAGCCACCAAGATTGTCAGACAGAAGCAATCAGTGTCTGCCAAATAGTTGGACAGGTGGTCATAGAGGGTGAGACGTGCTATTGGCCAGGGGTACAGACCTTTCCCTTAGTTGGGGACAGCTGGGGGATCAGACACAGGTAGACAGACTCTTGCCTGGAGATGGTTGGATAGTCAGCCACACCTTCACCTCAGACTGTTGGGTGGCCAGCTTTACCAGTCTGAGAGACTGAGGGGTCAGCCAGTGCGGGGTTGTGTGGTCAGGCAGAGTGGCCAGCTGTTGGGTGGCACAGTTGGAGACAGTGTCAGGTGGTCATTCTGACCAAGAGAGGGCCAGTCGTGGGGTCAGCTAGACATCAGGGACAGGTGGCAGGAGAGCCAGGCTATCACAGTGTAGCTAGGCCAGCAGGTGGTTGGCCTGGGCAGCCTGAGACGCCGCGGTCAGTGGACACTTGGACTATTAAGTTGTCAGGACCGTGAGCAGGGAGCCACTGGGACTTTGGCAGGGCCACCGTGGGAGGCTCCAATGGCTGCCTAGTGTCAGCCAGTCAGGAGGAGGCCCCCCAATGGTCAGTCACCCAGAGACAGTCAAGCCCTCGGGGACCCAGCCTCACCTGAGCAGACCACTATGGCAGCCTCCCAGCTGGCTGCGCTGGAAAGCGTGGAGTTGGGAGCTGGAGGGTCGTCATTGACTGAGTCCAGCCCGGGCTTCCTGTACTCGGAGGGCCAGCGGCTGGCGCTGGAGGCCCTGCTGAGCGAGGGTGCGGACGCATTTGAGGCCTGCGTGCATCGAGAGCAGGTGCAACCCTTCCTCAGTGCGGAGGAGATCCGAGGCCTGGCAGCCACAGCAGAAGACTGGACAGCAGCCACGCAGGAGCTCGGCGGGGTGTCAGAAGGAGCTGCCATCGCCACCAGCGGGGCCACAGGGGGCAGCCTGACCTACTGGCCTGGCCAGTCGGAGGAGCCAGCGCCTGTACTGCGGCTGGGCTGGCCCGAGGACACCGCCTGGAGAGGCATCACCCGGGCCCAGCTGTACACCCAGCCGCCTGGCGAGGGCCACCCATCCCTCAAGGAGCTGGTGCGCCGGGAACTCCAGGCTGCCTGCAAGGTGGGTGCCTCTGGGGCCTGGGGTCTGTTCCCCACACCCAGCTCCTGGGACCTGGGTGTCCATGTCCTCTGGAACTTGGGCATCCCCACTCTTGCTCTCCTGGGACCTGGGAACCCACACCCCTGCCTGCCAGGCCCTGAGGGCCTATATCCCCTGGGACCCATACCCCTGGACCCAGGGGTCCACACCTCCCAGCCCCCAGGACTCAGGACCTGATATCCACACCCCCTCAGATCTGGGTGTCACCCTTCCTGCTCTAAGACCTAAGATCCCTTAGGTGTCTGTGCCCCCTGTACCTGACTCTGACTCATCCCCGGTCTCAAGCATCCATTCCACCCCTTCCCCGCCAGGCCAGGTGTCTCCACCTTCCCCCCAGGGAGGGCCCAGGCACCCCCTGCAGCCCCCTGGACTGCCCACCCTCTATTTAACAATCTTAACGTCAGCCAGCTCTCGCACGAAGAGTTTCAAGCGCGTGGGTTAATGAGTATAATCCTCACTAGGAGTCCCTAGGTGGTGCAAATGGTTAATGCTCTCGGCTTCTAAACGAAAGGTTGGCAGTTTGAGTCCACCCAGGGGCACCTCAGAAGAAACGCCTGGTGATTCATTTCTGAAAAATCAGCCATTGAAAACCCTGTGGAGGGCACTGAGTTAATGGTGGTGGAATAATTTGGAAAACGAGGGTGAGCATGGTGGCACAACTTGAAGAACGTAATCAAGATCACTGAATTTCACGTGTACAAGTTGTTGAATTGGTGTGTTTTGTTGTGTATATTTTCACCACAATTAAAAAAAAAACTCTTGTGGAACAGAGTTTTACTCTGACACACATGAGGTCGCCATGAGTCAGAACCAACCTGATGGCAACTTGTTTTTTAGAGCCCTATGTGGTAGAACTGTTTGTGTGCCTGTTGAGGAAATGAGGAAACTGAGGCACGAGAACATTAAGTCTCTCACCTGTAAGTGACTGAGCGGGGATTTGAACCCAAGCCACTGCATTGTTGAGTCAGGTTTCATCCAACCAGTTACCATGAAGTCCATTCCGACTCATGGCGACCCCATGTGTGTCAGAGTAGAACAGTGCTCCATAAGGTTTTCAATGGCTGATTTTTCAGAAGTATATTGCCAACCTTTCTTTCAAGGTGCCTCTGGGTGGATTCGAACTGCCAACCTTTCAGTTAGCAGCCGAGCACATTAACCGTTTGTGCTACCCAGGGATTTCACCACCACTACTTACAAGATCCAGGCCCTCAGCACCCCCAGTCCTCAGAGCTCCCGTTGGTGGCTGCACAGGCCACCTCTCCCACCCTAGCACCCAGAGCCTCCCAGGGGATCAGATGCCCAGTGACTCAGAATGCCCTACACGGGTGTCAGGTGCATTTGGGCCCATAGTCACAACTCAAGGAACACTGTTCACATTGTAGACACGTGCTGTGTTGTAACAGCTTTCCAGCAGTTAAGAGTTAAGTGTCTTGAGGAATAGAGTCCTGAGTGGTGCAAATGGTTAATGTGCTTGGTTCCTAACCGAAAGACTGGTGGTTCGAGTCCACCCAGCGGTGCCTCGAAAGAAAGTCCTGGCAGTCTACTTCTGAAAAATCAGCCACTGAAAACCCTATGGAGCACACTTCTACTTTGACACGCACAGGGTCACCTTGAGTTGGAATCGACTCGACAGCAACTGGTTAACTGGTCTTGAGGAAGGGCTCCATCTCCCCTCTTCACACACAGGCCCCTTCTCCCGCAGACAATCTGGGATCCCCCTTGGGCATCCCACTGAGGCCAGGCCCTCAAACTCCCAGCCGCCAGTGTACCTCACCCACCCCCCCAGGACCCTGATGCCCAGTCCCTGCCATCTCAGTGCCCCCAAACCCAGGCTCTGTCTCAACGCCCTTCCCACCCCCAGCTGGTGGCCGTGGTCATGGATGTGTTCACTGACCCAGACCTGCTTATGGATCTGGTGGATGCCGCCACGTGCCGCTGGGTGCCTGTCTACCTGCTCCTGGACCGCCAGCAGCTGCCTGCCTTCCTGACTCTGGCCCAGCAGCTGGGCGTGAACCCCTGGGCCACCAAGGTAGGGGCTGGCCAGCGTTCCCTCCCATGGGGCTGGAGGCAATGCGGGTAGCAGAACCTTCCATGGGATCCTGGGTCATACATGCTAACTGAGAGGGTCCCTGAGATCTGATGCCCATGGCTTTGGGACAAGTGGAACTGGAATGTTCCATGAGGTTCCACGCCACCAAGTTGGGGTACTCCTAGCAGACCCCTGAGGCCTGATACCTGGTGTGCTGGGGAAGCTGGGACAGATCCTTCTGTGGAGTCATGGGCCACCTAAGTGGGACCAGCCTGGAGTGACCCCCAAGCTCTTGGCACTGAGTGGGGGTCATGGGGTGTGCCTCACCCCAGAACCTGGACATCCGCGTCGTGCGGGGCTGCAGCTTCCAGAGCCGCCAGCGGAGGCAGGTGAGCGGCCACGTGCGGGAGAAGTTTGTGCTGCTGGACGGTGACCGGGTCATCTCGGGATCCTACAGGTACAATTCCCCCACGCCTCACCCCAGGCGCCACCACCCTTCAGCCGGCATCCTGTACCCAAGCTGCCCTCGGCACACTCAGATTGCCCTTAGTGTCCCCTTTCCAGGCCTCTGTTTCCTCGTCTGTAAAATGGGTTCAAAACGCCCTTCCTCCCCTGGAGAGAGGAGGTGTTGGGGGGTGGAATGGGAACTGGGTGCAGGACCTGGCCCTGTCACGCTGGCCTGTTTCATGGCCTTGGGTGAATCTTTACCTCCCTGATAACCCCAGGTTTCCTCATATGGAAAACTGGGCTGACAGTTTGTGTAGGGGGAGTTTCAAAGCCAGGAATACCAAATGTGAGTCCTAGCTCTGCCTTCTGGAAGTGACTCCACCTTTCTGAGTGTCTGTAAATGGCCCAGCCAGCGGACGGGCTCAGTTGCCTCCTCTCCTTTCTTTGGGATCCAACTGATCTGTTCCAATCCTAGCTCAGCCATTTCCTAGCTCTGTGACTGACACTGGCCCAGTCTGAACCTCCGTTTCCTCATCTGGAAAGTGTGAGTGATCACAGCACAGAGGAGACCATGGACCTGGAGCCAGAGAGCCTGGGTTCAAATCCAAGCTCTGCCAGTTACTACTAGCTGTGTGACTTTGGGCAAGTTACTTTACCTCTCTGTGCCTCAGTTTCCCCCTCTAGAGAACGAGATAATAGGATTACTGCCTCTAGAGCAGGGTTTCTCAACAGTGTCTCTGCTCACATTTTGAATCATATGATTCTTTGCTGTGGTGGGGGCTGTCCTGTGCGTTGTAGTATGTTGAGGAGCATCCCTGGACTCTAACCACTAGATGCCACTAGCACCCCTACCCTGAGTCATGACAACAAAAATGTCTCCGGACATAGCCAGATGCTCCCTGGGGTGCAGACACACCCTCACTGAGAACCACTTGTTCCAATCAGAAACCAAACCTATTGCCATTGAGTCAATTCCGACTCATGGCAACCCCGCGTGTTAGAGTAGAACTGCTTCATAGGATTTCCTAGGCTGTCATCTTGACCAGACTTTTCTCCTGCACTGTCGCTGGGTGAGTTCAAACCGCCAACCTTTCAGCTGGCAGTTGAGCACAGACCATTTGCACCACCCAGGGACCTTGTTCTAGAACAATGGTCTTCAAACTTGAGCAGCATCGGAGTCACCTGGATGACCTGAAAACCCAGGTCACCAGGCGCCACCCCGAGTGTCCAATCTGGCTGTTGTTGTTAGTCTGACTCGTGGCGACCCCGTATGTCAGAGCAGAGCTGCTCCATAGGGTTTTCAAGGCTGTGACCTTTCAGAAACAGATCGCCAGGCCTGTCTTCTGAGGTGCCTCTGGGTGGACTCGAACCCACCAACTTTTTGGTTAGTGGCCTAGCATGTTAACCGCTGGAACTTTTTGGCTAGGTGTCAAGCACTTAATCATTTGCAGCATCCGGGGACCCCCAGAGGAATTTGAAACCGCTAGCTGTAGACCTGGCAGTCTGCTTCCATAAGGATTACAGCCCTGGAAACCCTATGGGGCAGTTCTACTCAGTAGGGTTGCTGTGAATCAGAATCGACTCCAGGCCAATGGGTTTGTTTGTTTTTGGTTTTGGGGACTCCCCAATTCAGCTGGGCATGGGGAATTTACATTTTAAGCAAGTTCCCAGGTGATGCTGAGGCTGCTGGCCCAGGAACCTTGATGAAGTGAGAAGCGCTAGGGTAGAGACTGGGTGGTTTTGAGTAGAGTAGGTTGCCATGAGTCAGAATTGACTGAAAGGCACCTAACAACAGCAAGGCGCGACCTCCCGGCTCTGCGTGAGGGCTCCATGAGAGGGTGGTGCCTGGCCTGTGACATAATCAGCGCTCCATCAGTGTCAGCTGTCCTTTATTTCTTTTTACCATATTTCATCGATTCTAAGGGGTGCCACCGACGTTAAGTGACATCTGGTTCACATGCAAAAAGAGGCGCGTCTTAGAACCAATGAAATACAGTAGCACCATCGCACCAGCTCTCTGGGCTCCCCACCAGCACATCAGGCCCATGGGGGCTTCTCCTGAGGGACAGCCCCAGAATGGACCAAGCCAGGGCCACAAGAGGTTATCCAGGGCCTCAGGCCATTTAATGGGGGTAGAGGGCGGAGGCAGGGGCTGCAGGGAGCAGCGGAGCTGGGCAGCCAGGCCCAGGCCCCGTCCTGCCCCCGGTGGTCACAGCGACTATTGGAGCAGCAGAAGCAAGCCCAGTGCCAGGCCGGTCGTGGCCCCTGCCGTCCCGGTGCCCGCGGGCCGGGGGGCTGCGTTGCACAGGTTGCCATAGCAGCAGGTGGTGACGAGGCTGTAGGTGACGCCCATGTAGCTGACGGGCTGCTCGTGGCCACAGCTGGTGGAGCGCAGGCAGCCTTTGTTGGTGATGGGGCCCAAACCCGGGGCCACCCCGTAGCCCGTGAAGCAGTCCTCCTCTTCGCTGCAGCTCATGTACGTGCTGGGGCAGTGCAGGGAGTCGGTCGGCTCACAGAAGAAGCAGTCCTTGACGCTTCTCGTGCCTGGGGGCAGCGCCAGCACCAGCAGCAGCAGCCAGCCGAGGACCATGGCGGCCTGGCGGCGCCGACAGTGCCCAAGCCAGGCCGGGGCCTTCCTGGACCTCGCGGGACGGCTGAATGGCGCTCTGAACACCCAGGAGACTTTGGCCCGTCAGCCGGGCCTCCCAGGGTCAACGGTTGGAGGGTCCTTGGTTTCCGACACGCGCACTGCGTCTCTCTCAGGAGTTCTGTTATGGTTTGGCTCTCAGGAGTCCCCAGGTCGGAGATAAGCCAGTGGCCGCTGCCCAACCGGGGTCTTTATGAAGCGGAATGGGGTGACCTCACAGAACCCTCGGGGTTCCCACTGGCTGCTCCGGGGGTGAGGTCGTTGGTGGGGGAGGGGAGGTGTCACAATCCGAGGGGAAGCTTTGCAGGCTGACCTCCCGGGGAGTGAGGACACTGGCACCCTACAAAGGTAAGGACGCTCTGTGGTGTGCTGGCCGCAGTGCTGAGGGCTTACTCACCCCACCCCCACTCCATGGTGACCACTGCTCTACCAGTTCCAGTTGATGTTGAGCTGATCCTGACTCATGGCGACCCCATGAGTATCAGAGGACAACTGTGCTCCATAAAGTTTTCAATGGCTGATGTTTTGGAAGTAGATCGCCAACCAGGCCTTTCTTCCGAGGTGCTTCTAGGTGGATTTGAACTGCCAACCTTTCAGTTAGCGACTGAACATGTTAGCCATTGGCACCACCCAGGGACTCTATCCTGCTCTGTTGTTGTTAGGTGCCGTTGAATCGATTCCGACTCATAGCGACCCTACAGGACAGGGTAGAACCGCCCCATAGAGTTTCCTAGGCAGAAATCTTTATACGAGCAGATTGCCAGGTCTTTCTCCTGTGGAGCTACTGGGTGGAGCTACTGAGTTTGAACTGCCAACCTTTTGGTTAGCAGCCGAGTGCCTAACCATGCGCCACCAGGGCTCCTTCCATCTAGCTCTACAGATGGACAAGCTGAGGCTCAGGAAGTGGGAGTCCAAGGCCCCCTGACCTAATATGAGAGCTATGTTCATTTAACTTCAGGGGAGGCCAGGAGAGAAAAAGGCATTTACTGAGCACTTACTATGTGCGTGAGTGGTCCAAACGATTTACGTGTAGCTGTTAACCATGGTGGACAGGTTTCAGCGCAGCTTCTAGACTAAGACTAGGAAGAAAGGCCTGATGATCTGCTTCCATAAAGATGACAGTCAAGAAAACCTTATGGAGCACAGTCCTACTCTGTAATACACGGGGTCTCCATAAGTCAGAATCGACTCAGTGGCAACGGGTTTTTGTTGGTTTACTGTATGGCAAGACTTTCGGTAACAATGTGTGCTTTCAGTAACAACCACCGTGATAACAGGTAATAGTAAAGGCACAACAGCTTTTAATATTTACCTCATGCCGGACCTGCTACCCATCTTCCCTCATTTGAATCTTCCTACGTTTCGACTCCATATTACAGATGAGGAAACCGAGGCATGGGGCAGGCGCACCCAGAACTTGGCACACAGCAAAACCCGTTGCCGTGGAATCGATTTCGACTCATAGTGACCCTATAGGACAGAGTAGAACTGCCCCATAGGGTTTCCAAAGAGTGCCTGATGGATTTGAACTGCTGACCTTTTGGTTAGTAGCCACGAAGCCACCAGGGTTTCCGGCACACAGTAAGCGTTTGATAAATGCAGTCAGTCTAGGAAGCAGCTGCTGAGTCTTAAAACAGTCCCTGTGGGTGTCAGAAAACTTTTCTTGTTGTTAGCTGCTGTCAAGTAGGTTCTGACTCCTGGCGACCTTATGTACAAAGAGTGCAGTGTCGCCCTGTCCTTTGCCATCTTCACGATCACTGGTGTGTTCAAGTCCATCTTTGCGGCTCTTGTGCGAGTCCATCTCACCTAGGGTCTCCCTTGCCCTCACTGGCCCTCTCCGTCACCAACATGATGTCCTCCTCTGGCAATTGATCCTTCCTGATGACATGTCCAAAGCAAGAGAATCAGACAATATTCTGTTGTGATCCGTAGGGTTTTCGATGGCTGATTTTCGAAAGTAGAGCCCCAGGCCTTTCCTCCTAGTCTGTCTTAGTCTGGAAGCTCTGCTGAAACCTGTCCACCAAGGGTGACCCTGCTGGTATCTGAAATACCAGTGGCCTAGCTTCCAGCATCATCGTTGTTGTTACTAGTTTTCGTCAAGTTGATTCCTGCTCATGGCGATGCCACGTGTGCAGAGTAGAACTGCTCCAGAGGGTTTTTAAGGCCTTTCAGCGGACTGCCAGACCAGTCTTCCGAAGTGCCTTTGGGTGGGTTCAAACCACCAACCTTTCAGCTAGCAGTGGAGCGCTTAACCATTTGTGCCACCCAGGAACTCTTAAACCAAAAACCAAACCAAACTGGTTGCTGTTGAGTTGACCCTGTAGGACAGAGTAGAACTATCCCATAGGGTTTCCAAGGAGCAGCTGGTGGATTTGAACCGCCAACCTTTTGGTTAGCAGCTGAACTCTTAACCACTGTGCCACTAGGGCTCCAGGAACTCCTAGCCACATGCCAGACTGAGGCCTGAGGTGTTCCACGTTGGGGACAGGGTAGAGCCCAGGTTTAAACCCAAGCCTGATTCCAGATGATAATTTAAGTATCTGTTAGCTTGCCTTGTCCTCACATCAACCCTCTGGGTTTGGTACCGGTGTTCCTCCCATTCTACAGAGGGGGAAGCTGAGGCTGGAGAGGCTGCGGGTCTTGCTCCAGGTCCATAGCCTGCCCTGGGACCAGGTTGGGGACCGGGGTGGGGTCAGGCTGGGGCTGTGCGGATATCCTGAGCCCCCTTCCATGCCCCCAGCTTCACGTGGAGCGACGCCCGCCTGCACCGCGGCCTGGTGACCCTGCTCACTGGTGAGATCACCGACGCCTTCAGCCGAGAGTTCCGGACGCTGTACGCGGCCTCGTGGCCGCTTCCGCCCGCGCCTGCCCCGGGACCCTTCATCAGAGTCCTGGGGGGACTGCAGCTGGCCCGAAGCCCGCACCACGTGGCCTGCCGTCGCTCTGTGGCACCCCCGTCGCCGCCACCCGATGAGCCACTGGCCCGCCGCCTGGTTGCCTGCCGTATCTCAGAGGGGGACAGGCGGGAGCTCCCCGTCGCCCCTGGGCCAGCACTCAGCGACATACTGAGGAGCGTGCAGCGCGCCCGGACCCCGAGCGGCCCCCCAACTCGGCCCAGCCGCTCCCTGTGGGACCTGAGCCGCCTATCCCAGTTGTCAGGCTCCAGTGATGGTGACAACGAGGTGAGACCTGGTGGCTGGCCTGAGAGAGAACAAGAAAATCGGAGCCCAGAGAGGGGAAGGCACTTGCCTAAGGTCCCACGGCTTCTTGGTCCCGACTCTGAACCACTCAGAGCAGGATGCGTTTTTGGGGGGCCTGCTGGTGCCTGGAGCCCTGGTGCCGCAATGGCTAAGTGCTTGTCTGCTAACCTAAAGGTTGGTGGTTCAAACCTACCCCGTGGCTCTGTTCCTGTAAAGACTGCAGCCTCGGAAACCCTATGGGGCAGTTCTACTCTATCCTGTGGGGTCGCTATGAGTCAGAATCAACTCGACAGCAATGGATTTGTTTTATTGGGTATGGAGAGGTCTAAGGAGCCCTGGTGGTGCAGTGGTTGAGTGCTTGGCTGCTAACCAAAAGGTTGATGGTTCAAACCCACCAGCTTCTCCATGGGCGAAAGATGTGGCAGTCTGCTCCCATAAAGATTACAGCATTGGAAACCCTATGGGGCAGTTCTCTGCCCTATAGGGTCTCTATGAGTTGGCATCCACCACAGCAGTGGCTTCACTGGGTGCCTGGCTGCAGGGATTTGAGGAACTGGACGCTCTTCCACAGATAGGAAAGCAAAGCCACTCACCCACTCACCTAAGTTTATAATTGCACCATCTTTCTCTTGCATTCCTACTGTGTGCTGGACAGATAAATGCTGGGTGACCAGGAAAGAGACCCTGAGAACCCTGTGGGTACTCCTGATATGACATCCCAGTTGTGAGAGCCCAGGGAGCAGGCAACTTGTTTTCTCTGAGGCTCAGTGTTCTCATCTAGGAAATGGGCTGAGTAATGGTCCTTATTCTGTTTGGCTGGGTCAGGGAGGATGGGATGAGATAAAAGAGTAACAACAGCACATTCACGAAATGGAATTTATTTGTATTTATGTCGTTGCCTCATCCTCCAGCCCAGTGAGGCAGTACTCTGATTATGCCCATTTTACAGATGGGAAAGCTGAGGCTCAGAGAGGTCAAGTCACTTGCCCAAGGTCGAAACAACGAACTTTTGTGGCCACTTTTCCGTAGTGCCATGTGCTTTCACCAAGGTGACCTAATGTAACCTTGACCCCAGCCCTCTGAGGTGGGTGTGACTACAGCTCTCCCCCTACCCATTTCACAGATGGGGTAACTGAGGTGCCAGAGAGGGATTGGAACTCAGCCCTGGCTACCTCCCAAGCAGGGCATTTAAATGCTCTGTTCTCTGGCTTCCCAGATTAGAGAAACACATGGGGACGGTTAGGGAAAAGGGGCTTGGAGGCCTCAGAGTGGCCTCCGGGAGGCCCTGAGCAGATGACTTTTCTTTCCAAGCCTGTTTCCTCAGGTATGAAGTGGGCTGTTGAGAGGGTAACATCAGGGCCATGTAGGGGCTACAGGTGGCCTCGCTCTGTGAGCTGCGTCCCCTTTCAGCCTCAGTTTCCCTATCTGCTAAGAGGGAGCCAGGGGCCTTTCCCAAGGGTGAGGGAGAACTGTCTGAGGAATCCCAGTCAAGGCAGGCTGAAGCCCAGAGGAGAAGGACGGGCAGGGACAAGGGCAAGGTCCTTACCTCCACCTGGTTCCCAGCCGCCCTCACCCAGCATCGCCTCCTTTGGCAAATATTTGCTCCTCCCAGACAGCAGCCAGCTGCTTCCTGTTCCTCCTCAGCTGCAAAGCCGCAGGTGGGAACCCAGCTTCTTGCTCCCTCTGTGAGTGTGGGGGACCCAACCTCCCCTCACTTCCCTCCTGGATCTAGAGGCTCAGGGGCCTCCTCACCTCCCTCAGAGTTCTCCACCCACTTCCCTCCTTCCTCCCCTCCCTCCTTTGTCATCTCTCCCCCTCCCATCTCATCTCCTCCCTCTCTCCTTGCTCTCCTTTCTCCGGTCTCACCTCCTTCCTCTCTCATTGTTCCTCCTCCCTCACCTCTGCCCTTCTTATCTCCCTCCCTCAGCTCCTCCATCTTTCACTTTCCTCTCTTCCCCCCTCACCTCCTTCCATCCCTGATTCTGGGCCCCCGGAGCCTCCTTTCACCTCCCTCTCTTTTCCTCCACAGCTCAAGAAGTCCTGGGGCTCCAAGGACACCCCTGCCAAGGCCCTGATGCGGCAGCGGGGCACTGGAGGGGGCCAGGGGGGTGAGGGGGACCCCCGCCCACTGGCCCTGCCCCTGATCCCTGCCCACCCCCACCGCCTCCGATACCTGTCCCCGACACGGAGAAGGTTTGGTGAAGGTACTCCGCCCAAACTCTCGGATCCTAGAGGCCTCTGGCAGCCAGACAGGGCCGCCTGGGCAGGACTCGGGGGGCGACCTTGACAGGACGGAAAGCCCAGCCAGGCCGAGGCAAGCTGGGCAACCACCGGGCTCTGTGTCAGCCCAGAGCACCCTCCCCGCCCCACACACCTCCTTGCTGCCCTGCCTTGGATAAGGCTTCTGGCCTCAGGGTCTGGAAAGCAGTTGGGATTTTTTTTTGTTTTAACATTTTATTGTGTTTTAGGTAAAAGTTTACACAGCAAATTAGTTTCCCATTCAACAATTCATACATAAATTCTTCTGTGACGTTGGTTGCTGTCCTTGCAATGTGTCGGCACTCTCCCCATTTCCACCCTGCCTTCCCTGTTTCCATCCCTCCAAGTTTCCCGGCCGCTCCTTGCCTTCTTATCTTTGCTTTTGGGCAAATGTTGCAGGTTTGGTCTTGTATCATTGATTGTTCTATGGAGCACATTACTCACGGGTATTATTGTTTATTGTATAGGCCATTCGACTGTTTGGTTGAAAGATGACCTCTGGGAGTGGCTTCAGTTCCAGATTAAAAGAGTGCCTTAGGGCAATAGTCTCTGGAGTTCTTCTAGTCTCTATCATCTGGTCTTTTTTACAAATTTGAGTTTTGCACTACATTTTTATGGGATTTTTTTTTTTAAACTTTTTCCAGTCCTGGGATGGCGCAAACAGTTAATGCATTTGGCTGCTAACAAAAAGGCTGGCAGTTTGAATCAGCCCAGAGGCAATTTGGAAGAAAGTCCTGGCAATCAACTTCCAAAAAACTAGTCTCTGAAAACCCTGTGGATCTCAGTTCTAACTCTGACACACATGGGGTAGCCATGAGTCAGAGTCAGCAGCTGGTAGAACATGGGCAAGTCCAGAGCCAGCCCTAAACCTCAGCACCACAGTCTAGAAAATGGGTAGAAACTATAGACTAGCTATGGATTCTATAACAAGGCGCGTTGCATTTTGGGCCTGGGTGTGGCCAGACAGAGTGGGTAAGTGGGGAAATGCCTGGTCTGAGGAGAGGCCTGGCTGAGTGGCCCCCAATGCTGGAATTGTCTGGGGTGAAGATGCAAGCACCTGGGGCAAACAAGGCTGTGGAGAAACTGAGTTTACCCTAGGAGAGGAGCGAGCTCACCTGGGGAGCAGGAAGGGAGTGGAGCTGAATGACAGGGACTGGAAAGTGGGGGTACACACCTGCTGGGGGCGAGGGGAGGGGCCATGCAGAGGGAACAGCCAGGCGCTGGAACTATTTTGTGGGTGCTGAGGGGGCCGGTCTGCTGGGACTCCCCTTTCCCCCCTCTGCTTGGAATAAAGTTGCTTCATTCCAGACACTGCCTGGCCCTGAACCCAGGAGCCCAGACCCAGCTGCCTCCTAACCCAGACCTAGGAGTCCAGTCCCCGGCCCCCTCCTCCCTCAGACCCAGGACTCGGAGCTCCCAGCCCCCTCATCCCCAGGGACCCACGAGTCCCGGCTACAGCCACCTCGCCCTGGGGAAGTCACATGCCCAGCTCAGGGCCCTTTGCAGTGCCTTTGACTCTGGGCGGGGCCTCTGAGTCATCGACCCCATTGGTGTGCAAGGTGGGGAGGATGACTCGCTCTCCCGAGGCCGCGGGTCCCCACGCTAGCCTCGGCGGCTCTGCGCGGCGCCCCGCCCGCCCTCACGCGCCCCCTGCCGCCCGCCCGCGTCCCGCCACCGCCAAAGCGCACGAAGGAGCCGGGGCGCTGGGCAGGAGCCATATGTTTATTCTCAGCGTCAATGGTAGGGGGTCTCGGGGGCCTGGCCAGGACTAGGGTCGGGGCTGGGCTCGAGGTCCGGGCTGGCGTCCTTCGGGGCCTCGTCCCAGGGGAAGGTTGGCTGCCCCCGCATCTGCTCGCGATAGATGCGGTCGAACGCTTCGCTCTGCGCCACGGTGAAGTAGTTCTTCCAGTCGCCGGAGACCCCTGGAGGAGAGGGAGGGGCCGACCGCGGTGAGGAGCCGCCTCGGAGCGTTGCCCCTCCTACACACACGCGTTCTGGTATCCTTTTTCCCACCTCTGGGTCTTTGCCTATGGTGTCCCCTTTTGCCAGGAACACCGTTGCGCCCACCCCAATCTTTCAAGGCTCAGCTCGGCCCAGAGATGTTAAGTAACTCGCCCAGAGTCACACAGCGAGGCCATGCACCACCCCACCCCCCCAGGGCCGCCCGCACCTTTCCGGAGGAAGGCCCCGCGGCGGTGGTCCAGCAGGCTGGGAGGCAGCAGTGTGTAGTTGGACATGGTGTTGGCCTTCATGGCGCCGAAGGACGAGTGCGCCACGACCGAGCCCAGCGCCTCCTCGCTCAGCGGCCGACCCAGGAACTCGCAGATGCGCTGCACGGAGCCGCAGAGGTCCTGGGGGCAGCGAGGAGAAGGGTCAGGGGGGGCCTACCCACCCACCGCGGAGGGAGGGGACCCAGCAGAACGGAGTCTGCATGTCCGGACCCTAAGTCAGAGCTGTCTGGGTGACGCCACCTCCCTGCCTCAGTTTCCCCATCTGCACGCGGAGGGGTTGGACTATGGCCTCTAAAGGTTTTTGCAGTTTTGATTTTTGGAGGTTCTCTGTGTTGGAGAGGAGCCCCGGTCGTGCAGTAGTTAAGTGCTCGGCTGCTATCTGAAAGGTGGTGGTTTGAACCCACCCAGGGGTACCACAGAAGAAAGACCTGGTGATCTACTATAAAGATTACAGTCTAGAAAACCCTATGCGGCAGCTCTACTCCTTCACATGGTGTCGTTGAAAGTCAAAATCAACTCGATGGCACCTAACAACAACAACTGGGTGGGAGGGAAAGGGTAGGGTGGGGTCAGAGGTCACAGCAGGGGCAGAGGTCAATCCAGCACTTTATCCAGACATCACCTTCCAAACCCACACTTCCCTGGGTCCCCATCTCAGGATATAGCCCATCATTCAGCCAGTCACAGGGCTAGACTACCAGACCCTGGAATCACCCCCTCCTCCTCTTTCCCTTCCCACATCAGTGCCTGGCCCCCTCCCTCCTACCTTGGACTCTCTCTGTCCTGTCCCCTCCTCTCTGTCACCATGGCCTTAGCACTGGCTCAGGTCTCTTCCTCTTCTGCCTGGACCCTTGCCCAGCCTCTTCCCTGGCCCCCTGCCTCCAATCCATCCCCACAGGGCCCCAGAGGGATCTTTTCTTTCCACCCAGAGCTGACGCTGCTCCCAAGACTTCCGTGGCTCCCCAGTGCCCCCGAGGCGGAGTCTCAGCTGTGGAAGTCCTGTGTGGTCTGGACCCCTCCTCCTCAGCTGCCTCCCCATCTCCTTGCACTTTCTACCTCCAAGCCTTTCCAAGGGGGCTGCCAGGAATGCCCCTTCCCCACGCTTCTCAGCTGACAAACTTCCCCACCCAGATGCAGCTCAAATGTCACCTTCCTCCTGACAGTGATGGTTCAAATCACTGTACATTGAGCACCTACTGTGTACTGAGCTCTGGCCCAAGTCCCTCAGGTATATTTGTGCTCATCCTACCAATAGCCTTGCCGGGAGGTGTCATTGCCCCAACCAGTAAACAGAGGCCCAGAGAAGGCAAGACGCTTGTCCAAGATTACACAGCCAGGGAGGAGCTCAAACTTGGGACCCTGAAGCCCACAGTCCTCTTCTCGACCTCGCTGCCTTTCCTGATACGCAGCACCGAGCACAGCCAGCCTTCCATCAACGCCAAAACCAAAAAAAGCCATTGCCACTGAATAGATTTCGACTCATGGAAAGTAGAACTACTCCTTAGGGTTTTCTGGGCTATAATTTTTACAAGGAAGGAGCCCTCATGGTGCAACGGCTAAGCGCTCAGTTGCTAACTGAAAGGTTGGAGGTTCAAACCCACCCTGTGTCTCCACAGTAGAAAGACCTGGCAGTCTGCTTCCGAAAAGATTACAGCCTAGAAAACCCTATGCAGCAGTTCTGCTCTGTCACATGGGGTCACTGGGAGTTGAAATCAACTGGATGGCATCTAACAATAATTTTTGCAGAAGCAGATTGCCAGGCCTTTCTTCCATGGTGCCACTGAGTGGTTTTGAACCACCAACCTTTAGGTTACCGTCCAGTGCAAACCGCTTCACCACCCAGGGTGGCCTCCATTTTCCAGGTCATTCCTGATTTCATAACACTCCATCCCTTGATCCTCTTGAACCACTGATGTGTCCCAGAAATTCTAACATGTTGGCGGTGCCTCACACCCAGGGGCAGCCCAGCAGTTCTGTCAGGCTGCATGGCCCAGTTTTTAGTTTGGAGAATAAAGCTTGACGGAGAAGAGGGGGAGGGGCAATGCCAAAACCTTTTCTGGATCTTTCCATCAAAAGTAATGTGCCAGGATGGGGGAAAAATAACCATGGGTGCTGCAGTGAAGAGCTGCATGCCCTTGGCTAAGTTATCAGCCCTCTTTAAGCCTCAGTTTTCTCCTCTGTAAAATGGGATTAATAACAACATTGTTGTTAGTTTCCATTGAGTTGATTCCAACCTATGGTGACCAGTGTGTTACAGAGAACTGTGCTCCACAGGGCACAGCTGTAATCTTGGCTGCAATCTTAACAGAAACGAGCTCTGGTGGCACAATGGTTAAGCTCTCAGCTGCTAACCGAAAATTCGGCGGTTCGAAAGGTTGGCAGTTCGAACCTACCAGCAGCTCCGTGAGGGAAAAGACCTGTCAAATCTGCTTCCAGTTGATTCTGACTCATAGCAACCCTATAGGACAGAGTAGAACTGCCCTTTAGGGTTTCCAAGTTTATAATCTTTACAGAAGCAGGCTGACACATCTTTCTCCTGCAGAGCGGCTGGTGAATTCGAACCGGTGACCTTTCAAAGCGCCGACCTTTCAAACCACCATACAGATCACAGGCTAGGAAACCCTATGGGGCAGTTCTACTCTGTCCTGTAAGGTCGCTATGAGTCAGAATCAACTTCATGGTACACAGCAACAACAATCTTCACGGAAGCAGATCGCTGGATGGGTTTGAACGGCCAACCTTTCTGTGGGTAGCAGTTGAGTGCAAACCGATTATGTCAACCAGGGACCAAATAACATCATTAGGGTGAACCCTATGAAATTGCCATCTTTGCAGATCAGGACGGGTCAGATATCAGCAATTTCATGTGGTTCAATCTAATATGTACCTCACTCGTCCATACTTGGTAAGGATTAAATGAGGTAATCCGAGCTCAGCATTTGGTGCCTGGCATTCGGAAGCCCTCAGCAGGTGTTTGCTGTGTTCTTATTGCTAGTCAGAGAGGCCCTCACTCAGAACCTAATCGCTCTCACTTTACCCACTATCGTAACACCACGGGGTACCTTGTCAGGTGGTTGCAATGTGCCAGGTACAGTGCTGGGTGCTTTGCAGTGTCATCCCCTTCAATCCTCACAACCACCCTGTGAGTCGCTATTTGTCGCCTATTTTAAAGATGAGACTTCCGAGGCCGGGGTCTTAACTGTTTTGTTGGACACAAAAGCCCAGCTCTTTCTACTACAAAAAGCACCGACAAAAAGGAGGATACAAAACCCACATGAAGTGGAGCACATCTGGGACTGCTGGTGAAGGGACATGTGTTGGGGGCCTCCTAGGCTCCCAGCCGCTCAGAACAGTCCTCGTTAAGAACCTAGAATGGTTGACCATTTTCACTGTGGATCATTCCATCTAGAATCCCAGCCTCCTTTTTGCAGCCGATCCGAGCTGTAGTCCTTCTGCACTACCCCTTCCTCCAGGGAGCCTCCTCTGATTGCCCTAGCTGGAAGGAGACATTGGATGGAGTCAAGATAGGATCCCAGTTTAACTCCAAAGGCCGATTCTTTCCACTAATTCCCTCTGCCTTTTCAAATTGTCACCATCATTGATGCATGGTTTCCATGTGCCACAGCTTTGAATCATCGCATTTATCTTACCACCTCCCCTGCTCAGAGCCTGCCCACGGCTCCCACCTACTCAGAGACAAGCCAACGCCCTCACCGTGGACCCTGCTCCCTCTCTGCCCTCATCTCCCACTCCTTCCCCTTCACTCACTTGGCTCTGACCACGCTGGCCTTTTTGCTGTCCTTAAATCACATCAATCACAGCTCTACCCCAGGGCCTTTGCACTTGCTGTTCTTGATGTTCCTTCTGCCTGGGACACCTTTCCCCCCAGATTTCTTCCTGGCATTCTCTCCTCTCCTCCTTCAGGTCTTTGCTTAAATGTTGCCTTGCGGTCTCCTCAACCACCCGAATTAAAATCACACCCACACCCCCGCCCTGTCCCCACTCCCTGTTTTATTTTCTTCTGAACTCTGACCCACTATGCATTTTATTGCTTTGTTTGTGGTCCGTCTCCTGCTCTAGATCGTCATCAGCCTCACAGGCACAGGGACTCTGCCTCCTTCACCACTGTATCCATCCCCAGGGCCTGCAAGTTGGTGGAGCTGGCTCTGGACCCAGGGCGCCCTCCCCAGGAAGGAAAGCAGGTGTGGGCGTGGAGGGAGGGTTGGGGTTGTGGGGCCGGGGTGGGGTGAGGGCTCACCTGATGCAGCTCCTCATAGGTGATAAACAGGAAGTTCTCTTTGCCCTGCAGCCGAATCCAGCCCTTAATGTGGTCGAACCAGGAGCCGAATTGCACTGTGGGCAGAGCAGCAGGCAGGGTGAGGGCCGGCAGCAGGGCCACCCCCTCTGGGGGCTCAGTGGGGTCTCACGCATTCCCCCATGCCTTGGCTCGGCATCTCAGAGCTGGACGCCCCTCCCCCGACTCTGTATACATCCCATATCCCCACAAAGTTCAGTGTCTCTCCCAGCCAGCCCCTCCCCCAGCTCTCCATCTAGACTATGGCGATGGCCTGGTTCCTCCAGCCCCCTCTACCCACTTGGAGCCCCTCCAAGGCCGGGGGCCTGACAAGAACAGAAAAGTGATATGTGGCTGAAGGGCCCTGCCTTCCTTAGCAGCTGGTCCCTCGTCTCTGTCTTGGCCAACGCCTCACACCTTGATCTTCCCCATCCTGAACCCCATGCCTTCCTCCTCCACTCTTTATTCCCTGAAGCGAAACCATCCCTCCATCTGCCCCAGAAACAGTTTCCTAGAATGTTGTTCTATCTCCTCATCTCCATTTCTGTGCATCTCTCTGTCTCTATCTCTCTCTGTCTCTCTTTTTTAGTTTCTCTGTATCGCTCTGTGTGTCTCTCTCTCTGTTTCCTTTTCTTTATCTCTTGCTCGCTTTGTGTCTCTCAGTCTCTCTGTCTCTCCCCCACCTCTGTGTCTCTGTCTTTCAGTTTCTCTCTGCCTCCATTCCTCTTGGTCTCCTTCTCTCTGTCTCTCTATAACACCTGTATCTCTGCCTCTCTCTCTCTCTCTCTCCTTCTTACCCCTTCTCTGTCTCTCTTTTGTCTGGACCTTTGGGGGCTCCCACTCCACTGGTTCCCATCCTCACCTTCGCCATTGAGGAAGTCCTGCAGGAACTGTTCGGGCTTGCCGGGGTCCTTCAATTGCCTGGCAATCTTGGAGTAATGATAGAGGGAGACCACCACGTCCCGGGGGTTCCGGCCCAGGTAGATCATCTACATGTGGATGTGGGGGAGGAGGAGGTGGTGTCAGTCACAAGCAGGACCCCAGCTCCTCGGGCTGCCTGCCCTTGAGTCCCCTCTCTCCTAACCCTGCGGCAGGAAGGACTCAGGGTAGACTTCTCAGGGGACTTCCCAGCTAACCGTACTCAGATCAGATCACCTCATCCTAGCAAATGGGGAGAGCTCCTTCCAACTACATTCTAGGAAATGTTTCTGAGGCAGGCTGAGGGACAGATTGACTTCAGGGAATAAAGAGTGGAGGAGGGAGGCATGGGGTTCAGCATGGGGGCAATCAGGGTGAGAGGCATTGACCCAGAGAGAAGAAAAGCTGGCCCCTTCTCTCTGTTCCTGCAGCCCAGCCTCCTCCTCTCCTGCCTGGACCCTCACCCCAGCCTCCTCCCTGGCCCACTGGACTCCGCATATCCTCAAAGGGGTCTTTCTATACCAAGAGCTGACCCTGCCCCTCCCTGCTCACAGCCCTTCCTTGGCTCCCCAGTGCCCTGGGACAGAGTCCCAGTCCCTGGGCCTGACATTCGAGGCTCTGATGATCTGGCTCCAATCTACCAGTTTTACATTCCACAGGCAAGCCATCCTCACTTTCTCCTACACTCCAGCTCATCTTCCCTGACAACTGTCTCCTGCTCCAAGACCCAGTGTAACAACTGGTACCGATTCCCCCAAGACTCCTAGTAGCTCCCTTGCTGGGACTTCACTGAGCCCTATGCCACCTCCACAAGTGCTCACACCATCCTTGCCTTCTCATGGTCTGTTAACAGCCTTGTTTCTCCACCCATGTGGTTGGGAGCCACTGTAGGGTGGAGTCTCAGTCATACCCCCCGTCCTGTCCCCAGAGCCCTAGCACAGGGCCTGGCACCTGGTGAACAGGGGGCCTTGGGAAAAGCCTGAGGGAGTTTCAGAGGCATCAAAGGAGTGAAGGTGGGCAGATGTTAACCGAGAATATCCAAGGGGCAAAAGCAAAACTGATATATTTCAAGGACTTAGATAAACGAGGCTTCTGATATCAGACCTTGCTCCTGTGTGCGGCAGACGATTACATGCTCTGGTACTAGCCGAAAGGCTGGTGGTTTGAATCCACCCAGAGGTTCCTCGGAAGACAGGCCTGGTGATCTGCTTCCAAAAGGTGGCAGCCTTGAAAATCCAGTGGGGCAGTTCTACTCTGCACACGTGGGGTCACCATGAATCGGAACTGACTTGAGGACAACTAACAACAAAGGTGGCACGTCTCAGGGCTCCAGCCTGGATCCTTGTGCAATATTATTGTTGTTGTGTCCTGTTGAGTCAATTCCAACTCATATGGACCCTACAGGACAGAGTGGAAGTGCTCCCTAAGGTTTCCAAGGCTGTAATCTTTATAGGAGCAGATCGCTAGGACTTTCTCCCATCAAGCCCCTGGATGGGTTTGAACTGCCAACGTTTTGCTTAACAGCCAAGCAGTTAACCATTGAGCCACCAGGGCTTCTTAGTAAAGGATTAACCTCACCCAAAAGAAGGTTTGCTTACCTGGGAGCTAATCTCTAATTCTTTGGAATGTCCCGCCTGGTAAGAGTGGCTTTGTTTACCTGAGATCTTGGGTCATGCCAGGTAGTCTGTGCCAACAATGTGGTTTATGATGGGGGCCCTGGGCCACATGGTATTAGCTCAGCCTTGGAGGGGCTGGAGACAGGTGAGCCATGCAGGGAGTCAGCCACGTTTACGTGACTGACCCCCAGTAAAAACCTTGGACACCAAGGCTCAGGGGAGCTTCCCCGGTTGGCAGCACTCCATGCATGCTGTCACACATTGTTGCTGGGAGAATTAAGTGCTGTCCACACAACTCTGTAGGAGCCTGGTGTCGCAATGATTCAGCACTTGGCTGCTAACCAAAAGGTTGGCAGTTTGAACCTATTCAGTGGCTCCAGGGGAGAAAAGACCTGGTGATCTGCTTCTGTAAATATTTACAGCCTAGAAAACACTATAGGGCAGCTCTACTCTGTCACATGGGGTTGCTATGAGTCAAAATCAACTCGACAGCACCTAAAAACAACAACAACACAACTCCACAGGGAGAGGACAACTGGAAGCTCACGACTCATCTCTCCTGGACCCTCTCCATCTTCCTGTTTTGGTGGACGCAGGCCCAATCTCACCACTTACACACGCCGAAAACCTTGGCGTCACCCTTGACACATCTCTTTCTCTTACACCCATGTCCACTGTCAGCCAATCCTCTTGGTTCCACCTTCCAAACGTACCCCAAACCCAACCCCTTCTCCTCATTTCCATGGCCAGCACCCTGGCCCAGCCACTATCATCACCTCCTGTCTGGACCATCTCAGTCACCTTCTCATTGACTTCCCTGCTTCTGCTCTCACGTTGACAGTCTGTTCCCTATGTGGATGACAGAGGGGGGATAAAAAACAAACCCGTTGCCGTCAAGTCGCCTCCAAGTCATGGCAACCCCATGTGTTACTGAGTAGAACTGAGCCACATAGGGTTTTCTTGGCTGTAATCTTTACGGAAGCAGTTTGCCGGGTCTTTCTTCCACAGAGCCATGGGGTGGGTTTGAACCACCAACCTTTAGACTAGCAGCCGATCGCAAATGGCTTGCCCTACCCGAGCTCCTGGCTGCCAGAGGGCATGTGTTAAAACTTAAGTCAGCTCATGTCCCTCCTCTGCGCAGAACTTTCCCGTGGCTCCCGCCTCACTCAGAATAAAAGCAAAGTCCTCACCACGTTCCACAAGATCCTGCACATTGTGGCCCCTGCTCTCTCCCTGACTTCATCTCCACCCCTCTCCCTCTCATTCTCTTGGTCTGGCCACATGGACTTTCTCACTGTTCCTCAGACCCACCTCACAGCCTCCTACCTCAGGGCCTTTGAATCTGTTCTTCCCCCAGACATTCCCATGGATCCCCCCTCACCTCCCAGGTCTTTACTCTAACATGACCTTCTCACTGGGGCCATCCTTGACCACTCTATTTATAATTCCAACCAAAAAAAAAAAAAAAACCGTTGCTGTCAAGTTGATTCCAACTCACAGCGACCCCATAGGACACAGTAGAACTGCCCTATAGGGTTTCCAAGGCTGTAATCTTTACGGAAGCAGACTGGCACATCTTTCTCCCGCAGAGTGGCTGGTAGGTTTGAACCACCAACTTTTCAGTTAAGCTGAGCGCTTAACCACTGTGCCATCAGGGCTCCTTCCTTGTAATTGCAACACTCCCCAACCCCAACTCTAACCCCAAACCTATCCTGCTTCCCACTGTGAATTTATCACACAGGACATACTAAATGTCTTCCTTATTTATTTCATCTCTTATCTGCCTGTTCTCCTCTATAATGTGAGGTTCATGAGGGCAGGCATTTTGGTGGGTTTTGTTTACTAATGTTCTAGAACAGGGCCAGTGTTATGGATTCAATTGTGTCCCCCCAAAAATATGTGTTGTAAATCTTAACCCCTATACCTGTGGATAGGAACCCTGGTGGTGAAGTGGTTAAGAGTTACTGCTGCTAACCGAAAGGTCAGCAGTTTGAAACCACCAGGGACTCCTTGGAAACCCTATGGGGCAGTTCTACTCTGTCCTATAGGGTTGCTATGAGTTGGAATTGCCTCGATGGCAATGTTTTTTTTTTGTGTGTGTGTATCTGTGGATACAAGGAGCCCTGGTGGTACAACGCCGCTAACTGAAAGGGCGGCGGTTGGAACCCAGCAGCCACTCGTCAGGAGAAAGACTTGGCGATCAGCTCCAGTAAAGATTACAGCCCAGAAAATCCTATGGGGCAGTTCTACTCTGTCACATGGGGTCGCTATGAGTTTAAAAGTGGCTCAACAACACCTAACAACAATAGGCACAGAAGCAAGGAAGCACAAATGTAGAAAGATTGTTGCTGTGTGGGGATTTCTAAGGAACGCTGAGAATGCTAGAGAAGCTGAGACAAAGATTTTCCCCCAGAGCGAACAGAGAGAGCCTTCCCCTAGAGCCTTCTCCCTGAATTCAGACCTGTAGCCTCCTAAACTGTGAGAAAGACGTTCTGGTGGCACAGAATTAAGAGCTCTGCTGCTAACCGAAAGGTCGGTGGCTCGAACCCACCAGCTGCTCTGAAGAAGAAAGATGTGGCAATCTGCTTCTGTAAAGATTACAGCCTTGGAAATCTCATGGGGCAGTTCTACCCTGTCCTACAGGGTCACTATGAGTCAGAATCAACTCGACGGTAATGGGTTGTTTTGGTTTAAACTGTGAGAAAATAAATTTCTCTTTGTTAAAGCCACCTACTTGTGGTGTTTCTGTTACAGCAGCACTAGGAAGCTAAGACAGCTTGGCATGCAGGAGATGCTCAATAAATACGTGCTGAGTTAATTGATTATGCTCCCTCTTGCTGCCATCCACACACACACACACACACACACACGCACACACACACACACACCCCTCCCTCCTCGTCACCTTGGCCTTGGAGTTGAAGAAGGCCTTAGTAAAGAGCTGGATGGGGAGGTGTGAGCTCATGAGGCGAGGGCTGGACTGGTCCGGGAGGCTGAAAGCGCCCATGATGGTCTCACACCAAGGCGCCCGCTCCCAGATAGGCACCGAGCGGATCCAAGAGGGATCCCCGTCCTTCAGGATTAAGCTGACGATCTCCACCATCCAGTTGGTGCCTGTTGGGAGAAATAGGACAAATTCATTGGTGGGTGGGAAGGGGCAAAGAGGGGGATATAACTGGATTTGTAATGGCTGCATTTATTAAGTCCTTGGGAGGCACAAATGGTTAAATGCTCCACTACTAGCAGGAAGGTTGGCAGTTCCAACCCACCTAGAGGTGCCTTGGAAGAAAGGCCTGGTGACCTGCTTCTGAAAGGTCACAGCCCTGAAAACCCTATGGAGCAGTTCTGCTCTGCACACACTGGGTGGCCATAAGTCAGAACTGAGCTGACAGCAACTAATAACAACATTGGCACCTCTCAGGGCTCCGACCTGGGTCCCTGTGCAGTATTGTTGTTGACTATTTATAATAGAGGTCTCATACAATATTTGTCCTTTTGTGATTGACTTATTTCACTCAGCATAATGTCCTCCAGGCTCATCCATGTTGTGAAATGTTTCTCAGATTCGTCATTATTCTTTACCATTTCGTAGTATTCTGTTGTGTGTATGTACCACAGTTTGTTTATCCATTCATCCACTGCTGGCCACTTAGGCTGTTTCTATCTTATTACTATTGTAAATAATGCTGCAATGAACATGGATATGCATATGTCTATTCGTGTCACGGCTCTTATTTCTCTAGGATATATACCTAGGAGTAGGATTGCTGGATCATGTGGTGTTTCTATTTCTAGCTTGTTGAGGAAGCGCTATATCGTTTTCCATAGTGGTTGTACCATTTTACATTCCCACCAGCAGTGTCTGAGAGTTCCAGTCTCCCCACAGCCTCTCCAGTATTTGTTGCTTTCTGTTTTTTTGATCAGTGCCATTATTACCGGGGTGAGATGGTATCTCATTGTAGTTTTGATTTGCATTTCTCTGTTGGCTAATGATCTCAAGCATCTCTTCATGTGTCTGTTAGGCACCTGGATGAAGTGTCTGTTCATGTCCTTTGCCGATTTTTTAATTGGGTAGTTTGTCTTTTTGTTGTTGAGTTGTTGGAGTTTTTTAAATAAATTTAGAGATTAGACTCTTGCCAGATACGTCGTAGCCAAAAATTTTCCCCCAGTTTGTGGGTTCTCTTTTTACTCTTTTGGAAAAGTCTTTTGATGAGCACAAATATTTGATTTTTGGGAGGTCCCAATCGTCTAGTTTATCTTCTGCTGTTTGTGCTTTTTTAGTTTTGTTTGATAGTCTACTTCTGCCATAAAGTTTTTCTTCTATGATATTTATGGTTTTAGGTTTTGCATTTAGATCTTTGATCCATTTTGAGTTAGTTTTTGTATATAGTGTAATGCACGGATCCTGTTTAGTTTTCGTACAAATGGATATCCAGTTTTGCCAGCACCATTTGTTAAAGAGACTCTCTCTTCCCCCATTTAATGGATTTTCACCCTTTGTAGAAGATTAACTGCTCATAGGTGGATGGGTTCTCAATTCTGTTCCATTGGTCTATGTGCCTGTTGCTGTACCAAAACCAAATACTATGGCTGTACGGTAGGTTCTAAGACCGGGGAGTATGAGGCCTCCTACTTTGTTCTTCTCCTTCAGTAATGCTTTACTTATCTGGGGCTTCTTTCCTTTCCATATAAAGTTGGTGGTTAGTTTTTCCATCCTGTTAAAGAATGTTGTTGGAATTTGGATCGGGATTGCATTACATCTGTAGATCGCTTTGGGTAGTATTGTCATTTTCACAATGTTAAGTCTTCCTTCGTATCCATGAGCATGGTATATTTTTCCATTTATGCAGGTCTCTTTTGGTTTCTTGCAGCAGTGTTTTGTAGTTTTCTTTGCATAGGTCTTTTACATTGTAAAAATGGCATGAAGGCAGAGTCTGACCTCCTCTAACTTCACAAGGGGAAAGGAGAATCAAGATCAACATCAACATCAACAGCCCAAGGCTGATTCCTATGAGCCAGAGGTCAGACATACCTCCTGTCTCTGCCATCTTTACCAGTTCTGACACGAACCGTCCCTCCACAGCACTTTCTACTTCTCTGCTGGGTTCGATAATTCATTGCAACGGCCACACAGAACTCACAGACAATATTCACAGTTATGGGGTTTACCAGGGAAGTAACAGGTTACAATTCAAGTTCAGGAATGCTCAAGATACAGTTCTTCCATCAGGACAGCCTCTTCCCAGCGGTGCAAGGCATGCCTCTCTCTGGCCCCTCGGCCTCTGTCCTGCTTGGTCAAATGTTACAAAGCTCCTTTAGCTCTGCCAATAAGTGCTCAGAGGCATCCCACTCTACCAGTAAGCCTCAGCCCAAAGGCACTCAGCTTTCTCGCTCTGTGGGCCAGGAAGCCCATTGTTCAGTCTTCTGCTAGTCTCTCCTCTTGCCACTTGTCTTGTCTGCCACCTCTTCTCGTCATTGTCTTTAGTGTTACAGCTGTATCTCTTGCTGTCTCTCTCGGTCTCCTGGTTCCAGAAGCATCTCACCCAGGGATCCCAGCTCCAAAGGACACGTATCTGTTCCCTGCTGTTCTTCCTTGGTGGTAGTAGAATCCTCTCTCTGCTCTGGAACTAGCTGTCTTTTTAAGCCTAGCAAGATGGCAAAACTGACCAATCCTCTTGTTGGGCCACAATTACCTTATCTGCACAGTCCCACCCAATCACTTGGGTGGGAGTTACAAGACCATGGCGATACAGCCACACAAAAACAATCCATCGCACCGCATAGATCCATAGTTAGGTTTATTCCCAAGTGTTTTATCTTTTGGACGGCTATTGTAAATGGTGTTGTTTTTCTGATTTCCTTTTTGGAGTTCTCTTGGTTAGTGTAGAGGAATCCAGCTGAGTTTTGTATGTTAATCTTGTACCCTGCCACCTTGCTAAATCCTTCTATTAGTTCCAGTAGCTTTCTTGTAGAGTCTTTGGGGTTTTCTTTGTATAGGATCACGTCATCTGCAAATAGGGATAGTTTTACTTCTTCCTTACCAATTTGGATGCCTTTTATTTCCCCATCTTGCCTTATTGCTCTAGCTAGGACTTTCAGTACAATATTGAATAAAAGTGGTGATAAAATTCATTCTTGTCTAGTTTCTGTTCTCAAGCAGAAAGCTATCAGTTTCTCTCCATTGAGAAGAATGTTGGCTATTAGTTTTGTATACATGCCCTTAAATATGCTGAGGAATTTCCCTTCTATTCCAATTTTGCTGAGAGGACTTTTTTTTTTTTTTGAAATCACGAATGGGTGTTGATTTTATCAAATACCTTTTCTGCATCAACAGAGATGATCATGTGATTCTTTGTTTTATTTATGTGTTGAATTACATTGATTGATGTTCTAATGTTAAAGCATCCTTGCATACCTGGTATGAATCCTATTTGGTTATGGTGTATTACTTTTTTCTATGCTGGTGAATTCTGTTGGTTAACATTTTGTTGAGAATTTTTGCATCTATATTTATGACAGATACTTGTTTATAATTTTCTTTTTTAGTGGTGTTTTTGCCTAGCTTTGATATCAGGGTTATGCTGGCATCATAGAATGAATTTGGGAATATTCCTACTTTTTCTATGTTCTGAAATACTTTGAGTAGGATTGGTGTCAAGTCTTCTCTGAATGTTTGGTAGAATTCTCCAGTGAAGACTTCTGGGCTGGGGCTTTTTTTTTGTTGGGAGTTTTTTTTATGATCTCTTCAATTTCTTTTTTTGCTATGGATCTGTTTAAATTTTCTACTAAAGTTTGTGTTAGTTTATTTGCCCATTTCTTCTAGGTTGTGAAATTTGTTGGAGTATGGTTTTTCATAGTATTTTGTTACGATCTTTTTTATCGCGGTTGGTTCTGTGGTAATGTTGCCCATCTCATTTGTTATTTTGGTTATTTGCTTCTTTTTGTTCTTCTTCTCTGTCAGTTTGGCCAGTGGTTTGTCTGTTTTATTCATCCTCTCAAAGAACCAACTTGTAGTCTTCTTGATTCGTTCTATTGTTTTTCTGTTGTCTATTTCATTTATTTCTGCTCTATTCTTTGTTATTTCCTTTTTCCTGGTGACTGTGGGCTTCTTTTACTGCTCTTTTTCTGTTTGTTCAAGTTGTAGGGTTAAGCTATTGATTTTGGCCCTTTCTTCTTTTTTGGTGTGTGTGTTTATTGCTATGAATTCTTCTCTGAGCATTGCTTTTGCTGCGTCCCACAGGTTTTAGTATGTTGTGTTTTCATTCTCATTTGAGTCTAAGAATGTTTTCTTTCATTTTTAATTTTTTTCTATTACCCAATGTTTTTTCAGCAAGCTGTTATTCAGTTTTCTTGTATTTGAGTCTCCTCCCTGCCACCCCGCCGTACTTCCTGTTATTCATTTCTAGTTTTACAGTGTTGTGGTCAGAGAAGATGCTTTGTATTATCTCGATGTTTTTGAATTTATTGAGGCTTGCTCTGTGGCCTAAAATATGATCTATTCTGGAGAATGATCTATGTACGTTAGAGAAGAATGTATACTATACTGCTGTTGGATGGAATGTGCTGTATATATCTATGAGATCAAGCTGGTTAATTGCGTTATTTAGATCTTCTGTATCTTCATTTAGTTTCTTCCTCTTTGTTCTGTCCTTCATTGAAAGTGGCATGTTAAAGTCTCCTACTGTCATTGTGAAACTGTCAATTTCTCTTTTCAATGCGGTTAGAGTTTCTTTTATGTATTTTGGAGCTCTGTCATTGGGTGCATAGAATTTATTATGGTTATGTCTTCTTGGTGGATTATCCCTTTAATCATTATTGATTATGATGTGTCTCTTATGATGGATTTTGATTTAAAGTCTATTTTATCGGGGATGAATATTGCCACCCCTACTCTTTTTTGGTTACTATTTGCATGACCTATTTTTTTCCCGTTCTTTGATTTTTAACCTATTTATGTCTTTGTGTCTGAGGTGTGTCTCTTGTAGGCAACATATTGATGGGTCATTTATTTTTATCCATTCTGCCACTCTGACTCTCGACTGGTGCATTTAAACCATTTACATTCAGTGTGATTATCACTAGGTATGAATTTACTGTCATTTTGTTACACTTTT